CTCTATTCGAAACTTTAAAATGGAAAGCGTGATGCTGGTGGTCAACAAAAGAGGTTTAAAGACTCATTAAAGGCAAATCTTAAAAAATGTAGTATAAACAACTGGGAAACACTTGCCTGTGAGCACTCCAGTTGGAGAACAGCCTTTACCAAAGGTGTTGTGGACTTTGAAGACGCTCGAACTCAGGACAAAAGGGAGAAACGTGCTAGCTTGACAAACCCTCACCTTGATCAACTCCTGCCTGGAAACCTATGTCCCCACTGTGGAAGGACGTGTGGATCCAGAATTGGCCTCCATGGTCACTTACAGACTCACTGTTAAAACCGTGTTTATGGAAGACAATCTTACTCGCCTAAGAAGAAGAAAAGTGTGGGAATCCCTGGACAGAGCAATGGGGATTTTCTTTTTTTGGGCAGGGGGAGAGGAAGCCACATGTGTGTCCTCAAGGTGTAGACTGCATGGACAGGGTTGCACTAATAGTTACCACAGAAGGTGGTGTATGTGAGAGAAGGTAGGGGGTTCTCAATGAAATCTGCATTTTAGCTTAATTACAGCCTCCCCTTTATAGCCTTCTAAAAATGGTAGCTAAGGGGGCTGTCAACAACAACAAACAAAAAGTTTGAGAGGCTGGGTCCCTTCTGTTCCCCTGTAATTTGAGCATCGCAGCAGGCAGGTGATGGGTGAGACAAGGAATTAACATAGAAATCACTCTCCAAAGTGGACTGTGGTGAGCAGGTGTGCAATGGATGTTGTTCTTGTTTAGTCGTTTAGTCGTGTCCGACTCTTCGTGACCCCATGGACCAGAGCACGCCAGGCACTCCTGTCTTCCACTGCCTCCCGCAGTTTGGTCAGACTCATGTTTGTAGCTTCGTGCAATGGATACATGTATTGTTTTGCTTTTAAAAACCACCATATGGGCAAATCTTAACTATGAAAATTCTGCAATTTAACACACATCAGTCATGATCTTTGCTCTTTTTTTTTATTCTGAAAACCAAAGCAATCCCCAAAAGTACAAGTAATTAATATTTTATATTATATATTAGTATCAACACTGCATTCCATGCAGACAATCCGTACCAAACATCTTGCCACAAGCTTTTCCACCCCACGCTCCTCAACAATGAATTATGTTGTAAATTCAAGTATACAAGAAAGAAAAGTAGGCTTTGCATTGTTATGAGAGATAATGAATTTGGTGCTCAGATCTTATTTGCTGTGGGCATGAACTGAATGGGTCATTTGACTTACAGGAAGCTCTTGCATGGTTTTTGTTTTATTTTACAGAATTAGATGTGGTCAACACATCTAAAACCTGCAGTTCCACATGTAGATTCTTTACCCAGCCATGAACTTCCAACAGGTACATGGAGACAGCAGAGATTCTCAGGCCAGCATTGAGACCTGAAATGTCAGCCCAGGACACACAGTGTCTGTTTTTATAGTTCTAATGCAGTACTGAAATGCCCCAAAAATGCCTTGTTAAAACTCCTATGAATGTATGTCTATACTGGAGAGTGGAAGAACTACATCTCAAGTTGTGCTTCTCTTTATTAAATCCTTTCCCCCTACTCTTTGGCTATTGGGCATTATATCTGCGGAAAAGCTACACTTTCTTCACTGCCTTTTTTAGGGCATCTGTATGACACTATGAACGAACTAAACCACCACCTCTCATGTTCAGCTTTCTTTCCCCACTCAGAGTTCAGAAAACCCAACTTTTTAAAATTCAGTGGAACAGTTGCACAATTTCCCCAGGTGTACATAGCTTGTCACACCGCTATTCTGGCCAACTATGGTCTGTACAGATGGCTTCAGCCATTTTCTTCTCTATGGTCTGTTTCTACTTTCTTGAAATCAACCCTTATCACTTTTTTTTCTTCTTGCCCTAAATTGCAGCAGGGGAGGGAATCATGATCAGGAATGTCGTGAAAGGAGAAGGGTTTATTTAATCCTTTCCTCACCCACAGACTGTGTACACACTCTCATTTACTCTGCTTCCATTGTTTGGGAAGTGGTGTACACAATCCATATCCTATCCTGTATCAATCCTGCCATTTCTTATGAAATACTGCGTTTTGATCTGTTTCGCTCCAACCCAGCTTTGATCCGAATTGAGGGAAAGAAAGACCCAGCTGTGGTTTTAAGCTGGCAATCTGCACGTGGCTGCAATGGTCCTGGTGAATATGCACACACTCACATATCTGAGGCTGAGAAAAGGGAAAGGGGGCTGCTCTCTTGACTACAGAGTTTGAGAAGTCCTGACTCTGAAAGCACAATGCCATTCCACTTACAGCTCGAAACAGAACATCAGTGGTTGTCTGCTACTAAAACGTCCGTAAGAAGCCTTTATGACTGTGGTCCACCTTTTGCATAAGAGTGCTTGGTGAACAAATTTAAGATCCTGTTTCTTTGTTTCTTTCAGGGATCTCTTCTTCGCCGCTACCCCACTCTCCATACAGCACACCAGTGGTTGTGATAAATAGGCTAGCATATACCGTATTATTTGCTCTATAAGACTCACTTTTTCCCTCCTAAAAAGTAAGGGGGAATGTGTGTGCGTCTTATGGAGCGAATGCAGGCTGCACAGCTATCCCAGAAGTCAGAACAGCAAGATGGATTGCTGCTTTCGCTGCGCAGCAATCCCTCTTGCTGTTCTGGCTTCTGAGATTCAGAATATATTTTTTTCTTGTTTTCCTCCTCCAAAAACTAGGTGCGTCTTGTAGAGCGAAAAATACGGTACATACTGTCCTGAAAAAGTTCCACTGGGATGCATTGCTGGACTGTGTTGCATCTTATGCATGCGTTTTTACTTTTCTTAAAATAAAAGTAAGAAGTCAGGTCAGGGAGAAAACGCCACAACCCTGGTAATAGCCCCATTTATACTCTGCCTGCATCTATAGCTCTACACGGTTATAGAATTATACAAAATCAGTTACGTACTATACATTAGATAATTAGCTCCTGAGGAAACCCCTGGGACAGATAGGCTCAGCCTGGATACGGAATGAAGCTACAACACACATAGATGCATAAGTTTAGGAGACATGTCTAATAATAATAATAATAATAATAATAATAATACTTCCTCTCGGTGCTTTTTCTCTCTTTCTTCAACCAAGGCAGCCCGGCTGCTGTGGTGCTGTTTGTGCCTGTTTTTATTTTACCCCAGACCATATGAAGAAATGGCAAAGTACAACGTTTTTTGTTTTAAACCAGCCTTCGCCCTCCAGATGTTTGGGACGCTGCCTCCTATCAGCCCCAGCTGTGCTGCCTGGGATTGATGCGAGGTCTGACCCAGCACACCTGCAGGGTTGGAGAAGCCTGCTTTGAACTCTCAGAGCCCAACTCCTTGTTCCCTTCTGCACGGCAGTTTACCGACACACATCTCTTCCCTGAGTTTCCCGGTAATTTTAAAGCAGGCGTATCATGCAGTGAGTGTCAGCATGCTGCCAGTACTTTCCCGCCTCCCTGCACAGGGCAGTCGATATATGCCGGAAGACCAGCAAACACAGAATGTGATGGAGTCACATCGCTTGTCCTCAAAATATTACCTGAAGAAATGGGATAAGAAGTGTGGGTCATCGCGGTCACCCTGCATTGCCGTAACAGGTGAGCTAGCCCTTAGGATATGTGCAAAATTTGCTCAGGCACATATTTCTCTTGTGGCCATACAGATATGCTCGCAATAACTTCAACATCAAAATATTTGTTACAGTCTGACTTTAAATGTGGATTTTTTTTCCTGGGAGGGAGCTGGAGCTAGTGGGAAAATCTGGGACTGGCAACCATGCCTCACATCTCATAGTGTTGTATCCAAATTAGATGGGGGGGGGGGTTGTCCAATAGCAGCACTTTCAGGAATGTGTACCAGAATTTTACAAGTACATTTTATCACCCTAACCCACTGGGAAAACATATGGGGTAACCAACATACAAGATAAAGAGGACAGAACAGGAACATCACCGTTTCCAAGAAAAAATAATCTCTATATGTGCCACGAGACTCCATTGAAAAAGACCAGGTCTTGCTTCCTAACTAAAATCTGATTGTTAGTAGGATCAGACAGAGTGGGCAGAGCGAATCTGCTTTAATTCCCTCCGTTCCCTTGAGATAAGGTAGACCTTTCTCCTTCTCATTCATAAAGTACTAATGAAACCAGTGACTAAAACTCGCTCTTTAAAAAAATCCAGAAAAGGGAAGCTAAGTCATATAGCCAATTGTGAGGTGGAGTTGGTAATTCACAGCAGAAATAAGACAAACCATATTATTGTTTTCAGGGTCTGAGGCCAAGTTTGATATGTATTTTATCCTCCGGCTGGGGTGATGACTGTCAATTGCAAGGCCTCCTTAATTAATGTTTTCTTTCTTGTGGCTCAAATTTATACCGCCATTACCGATAAATATGAAGGTGGCATTTCAGGCCCCGATTAAGCTCCCCACAAGCCACAAATGTCAGGCGCTGCATCCAGCAAGTGCTGCAATGACACTGAGATATTTGAGTCAGACCAACTTGTTCCATGTTAACTATCATCCGTAAGCATCTCTCAAGGGTTTATTCAGAAGGCAAACTTCAATCTCTCCCACCAGAAGCCTAGATTTCCCCCTATTCCTAACCTTTCTTTGGACAGTTTAATGTATTTGCTTTCCCACCGTTTGGGGGCTTAAAAAAATTATGCGTAATACCCTCCATAACACACAGAGGCAAAAAAAGCATCTTCTTTACCATACGGCTCAGGTGCCTGAGAAAAGCAGGAAGAGTGCAGACTTAGATTTCTTTTCCCTGGCACTGAAATCAGCCGTGGATGGCTACACCTGAAAACAACCGATATGAAGTGGGCTTCTCTGCAATAAAAGCTTCAACTCCATTGTAACTTTCCCCGCTAAAACACCCAGAGCCACACACTAAACCTGCATGCCTTTTGGGTCCTCCTGTATCCATTTCAATTCTTTTTTGGGAGGCTCTTTAGGTGTTTACTTTCCCCTTTTTGCTATTTCTTCAGTTGTGCTCATCGTGAAATAAACAGGAAACGGGAGGTGACGTTTTAAAGGTGCGAGAGCAATTAAAAAAAGAAGACACATTCTTCAGCATTGATCCGCTTCGACGAAACCTTCCTTCTCGTGGCCAGATGGCTCCACTTCCGTGTACATCGAGTGGTTTCTGAACTTCATGGCAGGCCACTGGTGCGGTCTCTGCTGTGGCGTGAAGAAAAGAAGGGCGTCGGTATGTGAAAAGGCTGTCAACAATTTGCACACATACACACTTTACATCAGCCTTCCTAAAGTTGCGTGTTTCTGGACCCCAGTTCCCATCAGTCCCCACCAAGCATAGCCAGTGATCAGGGATGATGGGAGATACAGTCCAAAACATCTGCAGTGTAATGACCTCTGGCAGTCTATCAAGCCACGATAAGAAGTAATGACTCTCTGGCAGTTTTAGGTACGTTTATTTACAAAAAGACACATCCAGAGCACGGCTTCTCACCTGCTCGCATTTACGATAGTTGGTCAGTCTGAATTTTCACCCCTCCCACCGCAGGAAGGACGGCAAACTCCCGCCTTTCCCCTCTTGCCCTTCCGTTGCCCTCTGATCTTACGCTGTCGCCTAGAACGAAGATTGAGAGGCTGGCCTGCCCCCTCCCCACTTCCACTCGACAAAGACTCAGACCTCTGCTTATCTGCTGGTTGCCTAGCAATGCTCTGGCTGCCTTCCAACTCTCCCTCTTCTTGAGAGCTAACAGAGTCTTCCCCGGGAAAGGGGGTCGAACTGCCCTTCCTCGACTCTGTCAGCCAGGTCTCATCTGCAGAGTCAATCTCTGGTTCACTTAGTTCAATTTCTGAGTCTAATTCTTCCCCTGTGCTCTGGGGGGCCACGTTCCTGACATGGAGGACCCCAGGTTGGAGAAAGCTGCTATACATTCTCAAACCGATCTATCGATTTCTGATATGTGCATGAGTTGTGCACAGAGCTGTCCTTCCTAAAGATGAGGCCCACAGTTCAGTGGCAAAACTTATGCTTTTGCATACAGAAAGTCCCAGGTTCAATCTTTTGCATTTACAGACTGGGTAAGCAGGTGATGAGAAGGACCTTAGAAAAGCCTCTGCCAATCCGTTCGGGGCTGGGTGGACAAATAGGCTGCTTCCTGATCTCCAGACAGATCAAAAGGAAGGACATGGCAGCATGCACAGGCCCTGCAGAGAACTATCCCCTCTGCTTGAAAAATAAAAATAAAACAGGGCAGTTTGGTCACATAGAAGCTATTTGCGTGCATATCAAACTTCATAAAGGGCTCTGGATTGCAGTGATTATCCGGAAGTAAGTTTTATTCATTTTGTAGAAATACTGTGCATATTTGGGAGAGTTCCTTCCCCCTCCTCCTTTCTAATTCTGCCAGATGCATAAATATATTTGTAGAAGTAATATCATGAAAATGACAGCCTCAAAGGTAAAGCCATCACCAATTTATTTTCTATATTTTAGTGTCTTCTTCTTGAATAGCATCTGCAAAGATTGCTCAGGTATAGGGCCTTAGGTACACTTCAGAGCATTAGAACTGCTGCTGAGGACCCCAAATGGAATGCGGAAAATATAGGACATACAAATCTGTGAAGCAGTATTCAGCAAGTACTGAATCTGGTGCTCAAAACTTTATTTTCAAAACAACATGGGGGGGCGGGAATTCTGATGCTATTTGGAGTAACATATCAAATTAAGGGGACACGGGTGGCGCTGTGGGTTAAACCACTGAGCCTAGGGCTTGCCGATCAGAAAGTCGGCGGTTCGAATCCCCACGGCGGGGTGAGCTCCCGTTGCTCGGTCCCAGCTCCTGCCAACCTAGCAGTTCGAAAGCATGTAAAAGTGCAAGTAGATAAATAGGTACCGCTCCAGCGGGAAGGTAAACGGCATTTCTGTGCTCTGCTCTGGTTCGCCAGAAAGCGGCTTAGTCATGCTGACCACATGACCCGGAAGCTGTACGCCGGCTCCCTCGGCCAATAAAGTGAGATGAGCGCCGCAACCCCAGAATCGGTCACAACTGGACCTAATGGTCAGGGGTCCCTTTACCTTTACCTTTTATCAAATTAAGATGGTGCCAAAGAGGGAGGTAACGGGTGAAGACCAGCCAGGAGAGAAGATTGAGGAGATGGGAACCTAAAGGTTTGTCATTTTCTTTCTCGATGCCCAACCATTTTTCAAGTTGATTATCTCCAGGGAGAATTGCACTCTGCAGCAGGGAAAACACTTGGCTAGGGATCAAGAGGCGGATTTGGGTCACAATTTTATTTTACTGGCAAACCTCTGGAGTGTTGAGAGAGAAGTGGCTCATGAGTAGCAATCTAACACCCACTCACCTGGAAGCAAGCCTCAATGGGGCTTACTATGCTGTTAAACTCACCTTAATGAAGAACAAAGCAGCGTGGGATGTAGGGTTGCTTCTGATGTAGATCCCAGCAAGAATAATGGCTGCTATGAGCAGGACTGCCAGCACAATTCCAACGATGGTTCCTGTATGGAGCTGGGATTCTACTTTTTTTGCAGGGAAGTCGTCTCTCAAACCTTCAGGGGAGGTTTTCATAAGGGTTGGGGGGATAATGTGCAAATTACTCCAATACAGCCACAACAAAAGAAAAAAACAACAACCCACAAGGATCAGCCAGGCGAGCTTTGTTTGTTCAGTTATCAAAATGAGGTTGAAAGGTACACCATTTGTGGGTACCATTACCCACAATGCCTTTAGGTAAAGGTAAAGGGACCCCTGAACATTAGATCCAGTCGTGGCCGACTGGGGTTGCGGTGCTCATCTCGCTTTATTGGCCGAGGGAGCTGGTGTATAGCTTCTGGGTCACGTGGCCAGCATGACTAAGCCGCTTCTGGCGAACTAGAGCAGCACACGGAAACGCCGTTTACCTTCCCACCGGAGCGGTACCTATTTATCTACTTGCACTTTGACGTGCTTTCGAACTGCTAGGTTGGCAGTAGCAGGGACCGAGCAACGGGAGCTCACCCTGTCACGGGGATTCGAACCGCCGACCTTCTGATCGGCAAGTCCTAGGCTCTGTGGTTTAACCCACAGCGCAACCCGCATCCCTTTCACAATGCCTTTAGGGTGGACTAAAAAACCACTGTGGATCTCAGTTAAAGTTAGGCCTTCCAAGATATGGTTGAGCCAGGGCATGTCAGGGATGTTCACTCCCAGACAGACAGCGAAGAATCCAAAGAGGAGGGAGGGCAGACTGAGGGGAGTAGAAACTTGATTCCTTCCCACATTGAGAGTGATGTAAGCCCCTCTCGCTCTGGAATGCTGGCTGTCACTTCTCAAAGCAGCACAGAGCCGACAGAGCAGGCTGCAGAGGAAAGGCCATGTTTAGACTCTGCTCAAGAGGAGGAGGAGAAGGGACTGGCTGAACCCAAATCTCCTCATAACTGAAGGGGGAGCAACGTAAGCCCAGCAAGAAGTGGGGCAAAAGGTGGAGAATATCCTGCTGGCGCAGAACATGTCATCCAGCAGAGCCAACTGGTTCATCCAATGAGGGCTGAGCAAAGGCAGCTCAGACTGCAGAGACTTTGTAATTACTTAATAAAACTAGCAATAATAAAACTGCCAGCTTGCCGTGTCTTGTGTGAGAGAGATATCGTAAACCTGCCAGGCCATTGGCTTTTGGGGATACAGTTATCTGCTTTCCTTATTTATAATCCACCCTTTGCCAAACAGTCCCAGGGCAGAAATAACGTCACATTAAAAAAAACCATAAAAACAATGACAAAAAGGAATAATAATAAAATAAATAACAAACGTTATAAAAGTCACAATAATGCAATAAGGATATTGTGAATTAAGAAACTTTTGATACTTGAATGGATACAAAAACCTTTGGAATATGCAGAAATGGCGAAACTTACTGGAAGAATAAGAAATCAAGAAAACAAACTCTTTATAAAAGAATGGAAATGGTTTACTGAATATTTATAGATAAAATGTAAACAGATAAAAACATTGGCAAGATCCTTGTAATAACCTGCAGTTTCATAAGAGTATATATTTAAAGAAGATGAATAAGTGAGCAAATTAAGTTAATTAGGATATGCAGAAGATATTAAAAATAAATTTAAGGAACAGCAGAAAGAGGGGAAAGGAAGTCAAGTTTTGAAATGTCAAAATGATTGTAAAATTGGTGAAATGTATAAATCTGAAAAGTATAAAAAAGAAAGAAAAAGAAACTTTTGATACTTTCTTCCTCCATAGTTGTGCATAGAAATATTCACCAAATGAATGCCAGGTTTTAGGAATATGGCAGTCAGGGGGGGATTCAACTATTTGGACCTGTGGCTTCCTTCACAGGGTTATAGTCATAGAGCTCCCATTGCTCTGTTCTAGCTCCTGCCAACCTAGCAGTTTGAAAGCATACCAGTGCAAGTAGATAAATAGGTACCACTGTGGCAGGAAGGTAAACGGTGTTTCCGGGCACTTTGGTTTCCATCACGGTGTCCCGTTGCGCCAGAAGTGGTTTAGTCCTGCTGCCACATGACCCAGAAAGCTGTCTGCGGACAAACGTCGGCTCCCTCGGCCTGAAAGCGAGATGAGCGCCACAACCCCATAGTCGCCTTTGAGTGGACTTAGCCATTCAGGGGTCCTTTACCTTTACCTTTAGTCATATGGTCATCCCAGGTGAAACAGCAGTTCAGGGCACACCTCACATCCCCAGAACATGGACATTCCCACACATTTGCATATCCACTAGGCCAAGAAATAATTAGGCACTTACCGTCTTCTGGATTTTGGTTCAACTTCGTATCATCTATAAGAAAACAAAAACAATAAGAAAAAGAGGATATACAGTGGAACCTCGGGTTACAGATGCTTCAGGTTACAGTCTCCGCTAACCCAGAAATAGTACCTCGGGTTAAGAACTTTGCTTCAGGATGAGAACAGAAATCATGCTCCGGCGGCAGCAGGAGCACCCATTAGCTAAAGTGGTGCTTCAGGTTAAGAACAGTTTCATTTTAAGAACGGACCTCCAGAACGAATTAAGTTCTTAACCCGAGGTACCACTGTAGGCTGGTTTGGCAAAGTCTTTTTTGGCAAAGTCTTACCACTGTAGGCTGGTTTGGGGTGTTCAGATTCCTAAGTCTGGCTGGTAATCCTGAAAACAAGGTACTTTCCAAAAACATCATGGTTTAAATTTGGTATTGAATTAATGAATTGCTTATAGGCCTGGCTGTGGAGGACTGTGGTTTGTTTTTTTTAATTGTGGCATTTAATTGCTCCATCCATCTAACTGCTCGATATTTTGCTTGTTATTGCTGTTATGCTGTGTATGTGTTTTGTGAATGAATGAATGAATGAATAGTTAAAAATTACAAGGGGAACTTTGTTGCTTCCAGATGTGGAAGCATCCATTTAAGAGCATCCAGTGTTTGCTATTCTGTTTTATGCAGGTAGGGAATAGCAACTCTGCTTGCAGACAATTGCAGCCAGGTGTTCACTCACGAAATATTGTGGAGGTGGCTGTGGTGTGTGTGTGGCAGGGAAAGGGTTAAAAAATCCTTTATCCTTTGATGCACTGTGGATCATGATCCCCCACATCAACTTGCAATTTAGGAAAGGTGGAGGAAGAAACAGATATAAAGGCAATACTATTTGGAAAATGAAGGGTTAATGTGGTCGAGCTGGTTCCTAGAGAAAGAAATATTCTGCACATTGATTGCACATTTGCTGTGTTATGGGTTGCTGAAATGTTAAGCAGCAACAGGACGAAAAGGAAAGGAAGCTGGACAGCTCAGTTGGTAGAGCATGAGATTCTTAATCTCAGAGTCACGCGTTGGGCAAAATATTCCTGCATTGCAGAGGATTGGACTAGATCAGGGGTAGGCAACCTAAGGCCCGGGGGCTGGATGCGGCCCAATCGCCTTCTCAATCCGGCCCCCGGACGGTCCGGGAATCAGCGTGTTTTTACATGAGTAGAATGTGTCCTTTTATTTAAAATGCATCTCTGGGTTATTTGTGGGGCATAGGAATTCGTTCATTATTTTTTTCAAAATATAGTCCGGCCCACCACATGGTCTGAGGGGCAGCCCATGGCTGAAAAAGGTTGCTGACCCCTGGACTAGATGGTCCTTGTGGTCCCTTCCAACTCTCTATACCTCTGCACGTAGAGAAGGTGACTGGGCTGGTGGCTGAATCTTATTTCAATACCAGCAACAGGAAAGAATCCTTCACCACACTTGAGAGCAGTTGGCTAGTTACAGGGATGTAGGCCAGGCCATAAGATATGCACAGCTCTGTCCTCTCCAGCAGAAGGGTATAGCCAGAAGAATCAGGAGAAACAGCCAGAGGGCTACCATCCCAGCATCTGCTGCATGAGGCAGTCATCTCACTCTGTCTAATGGTAGGGCTGGCCCCACACTTAATGGTTTCTTATATCCCTATATAAGGGATGTGGGTGGCGCTGTGGTCTAAACCACAGAGCCTAGGGCTTGCCGATCAGAAGGTCGGCGGTTCGAATCCCCATGACGGGGTGAGCTCCTGTTGTTCTGTCCCTGCTCCTGCCAACCTAGCAGTTCAAAAGCACGTCAAAGTGCAAGTAGATAAATAGGTACCGCTCCGGCGGGAAGGTAAACGGCATTTCCGTGTGCTGCTCTGGTTCACCAGAAGCGGCCTAGTCATGCTGGCCACATGACCCGGAAGCTGTACGCTGGCTCCCTCAGCCAGCAAAGCGAGATGAGCGCCGCAACCCCAGAGTTGATCACGACTGGACCTAATGGTCAGGGGTCCCTTTACCTTTATATCCCTATACCGTGGTACCTCGGGTTAAGTACTTAATTCGTTCCAGAGGTCCGTTCTTAACCTGAAACTGTTCTTAACCTGAAGCACTACTTTAGCTAATGGGGCCTCCTGCTGCCGCCGCGCATCCTGAAGCAAAGTTCTTAACCCGAGGTAATATTTCTGGGTTAGCGGAGTCTGTAACCTGAAGCGTATGTAATCTGAAGCGTATGTAACCCAAGGTACCACTGTATGGAATTAGCACTATCTGCATGTTATAAAAGATTAGTATTATTCCGAAGAATAATACTTTTTTAAAAACCAAACTCTCTCTCTCTCTCTCTCTCTCTCTCTCTCTCTCTCTCTCTCTCATATGCTTGTGAAGACCGGATTTCTAGCGAGATCATCTGCTCATCCTCTTGTCTGCTTACACAGCTTATTCAGAAAAGCATGAAGCGTTTATTTGGAGAGGTCATTTGAGCAAGGACATAACTCTCTCTCCTGTTTAACCACTGCTCTGCTTCTTTGGAAGGAATGAGTAAGAAAGAAGGAAACATCTTCTCTCCTCTTGTCACTTAACAGCACCCCCTGGAAGAAATTATTTGGGCTCTGCTTTTATAGGCAAGAGGGGAAGGCACAAATGGCATCCAAAGAACTAGGATGTCAGCCACATTCATAAATATCATCTCCATTAGCTGGCTCCAAGGAGCTGGACTGTAAGGGTAAAAGATAAAAATTGAAAGAAGGCTTCTATGATGTCTTCGCAGCTGGCCTAGATTTATTTCATGTTTCAATTTCACCACCAGAAAAACATTCCTATTATAAACGTACAAGTTTCATCATTTTATCAGTCTCACACCATCATACATACATATGTTATCATCTTTTTTGATAACCTCACGAGTGCAGTTTGGATGCCTTTTCAGAGGGTAAGAGTCCCAGGGAGATTTGAGGCCCAGTACCATGGTGATGGCTGTTGTGTGTGCATTTGTTTTGTCTCAAACCAAGCTAAGAAATTAACCTCATGCTTTAATACGCTGTTATAAAAATAAAAATAAAACTATTTCCCTGCCCGGAATCAAAAAGTCAACTGGAAACCATCAGCGTGGCTCTTCCCTCATATTTTATTAGCTCTTTTCAAAGTCAACTCAGTCACAAAAGAATTCTTTCCTCTAGTTCCTTCACTGCTGAAGGGCAACTACTAATGTTCTTTTCTATTTATTTTAATTAGCAGCTTGCGACAGGGACTATTAAACAGCAAAATTGAACTGGTACCTGCTGCTAACCACAGAGGGGAATAGTGGTTTTGATGCTAACCTAGGCATATTATGCACAAGATCCTGGGGAATATGACATAATTTCTCATACTGGAGGAAACTTAATTAGTCTGGGGTGATGTTCTGTTTTAAGCAGTCACCATGACACACTGATCTCCACAACTTAATTTCAAAAACGAAAGGTCTCTGGTCTCTCTCTGGAAGCGATGCCTCCAGCCAACCTAAAATGAGGGCTTGGAGCAAGAAGACCACACTTTTCTATCAGTCTTTTTCCACTCATCCAAATGTTAAATTTAGACATTCAGTGCAATGGGACTTTCAAACTGTGTTTGCACATGTATAGCCGATGCAATTCTAATTCATAACTGTGTGAAAAGCCTAGATCAACTTCTAACTGATTAGTTTAGCTATTACTGCTCACCTCAAGCAAATTTGGTTTTCTCAAGGTGCTGAAAATTAACTAAACTTGTTCATGGATCTGAGAGAATACACAATAATCCACAGCAGGGTTTCCTAAACTTGGTCTCCAGCTGTTTTTCAGACTACAATTCCCATCATCCCTGACCACTGGTCTTGCTAGCTAGGGATGATGGGAATTGTAGTTCAGAAACAGCTGGAGACCCAAGTTTGGGAAACACAGGGGGGAACATCTTCCTGAGGCCTCCCTTTCCCACTCCAACCATAGCATTTGACCCTGGCTGGTACCTTCTGTAGTTAGGCTGTCGACAAAGTGGGAAGAAGAAGTGGTGACGTCTTCTCTGAGTGGTGTGAAGGGACTGTCGCTGGGAGGTGTTGAGTAGTAATGTTCATCGTCTTCAAAGTCGGCACAGGTCTTCTCTTCTAACTAAAACGACAAGCCCGAACCAGTCATTCTGGTGGTGGTGGTGCTTCTTTGTGGATGTAATCTGCCACATGCATTGACGCAATCATAGCGCATTAGTGGCAGACTTATTTATACTGGCTCCATACGCACATCGTTCAATTTTATTAGTTATTCTGCAATGCTTCCTCAGTGTTGCCACATTACAACGCTGCTTTACGGAGGGATACTCTTGCACAATAGCTCAGCAAAAAGCTCAACTAAAAAACAACAACCAACCAACCCTCAGAATATTTCTGGTCTGAAAAGTTAAGAGGATTTCAGAAGGAGGCTACAGAATGTCCACCAACTCTGTTTTAAGCTTAAAAAGAATAATCTTAAACTGATGCAAAGACTGGAGAACTGATCTTAAGAACAGAACCATGAGAAATGGAGAGACACTAAAATGGGCAGATTCACCCATCCCTAGCAGTTGGAATTGCTTGGCTGCCATTTTTTAAAAGTGCATGTCCAAAGTCCATTTCGGGGGCATAATCTGGCCCGCTAGTCGGTTTAATCCAGCCTCTGTGGCAGTTTATTCCTGGGGTAAAATCCTAAAAAAACCTCAACAACTTTGGTTGGCCCTTTGGTCGGCCCCCACAGCTCTTCACTTCATCAAATCTGGCCCTCTTTGAACAAAGTTTGGACACCACTAAACACTTATCCATCCAACCATCTCCTTTCCTGTGTTCTGTTTTTTTGCACTAAGCTTCCTTGCCATAATTTTGCCTGTGCTTTTGTTTTCATTCTTTACTCCCAACACTGTGGACATCGTTGATCCCTCTCTCTCTGCATATGTTCCCATGTGCAAGGGGAGGTATTTCCTAAAAATATTTAGGAATGGTTTGGGGTCAGGTGGAGGGGGCAAGCTCCCAAAACAACCCAATGAGGACTGAACATGCTCAGCAAGCATGGAATGCTGACGGATTGTTGGCAGGAAAACATGGAAAACTGTGTGGAAGTGGGAACAGAATGTGAGCAGAACACTTTGCTGCAAAATTTTGCAGGCTCCCTTGTGTTCTTTCTTTTCTTTAATCTGCAAACATTTTGGGTTATTATTACGGCTCATGGCCCTGTGTTAATAAGGGCGAATCAACTGAATCTCATTCCACCATTATAATGAATGTTACGGCTATGTAGAAGTGGAAGGCAGCCCTTTGGCTGAAAAAAGATTGCCCAGCTAGGACTTTAAGCCTCTTAGGAAATGGGGGTATCAATAGTTTGAAACTCAGAGGTGGGAGACACTGGTTGAGCACTGAGCCAGGGTTGCATACGTTCATACTTTTAAGTACTTTGACTATAACTTTACCTCTTGGTCACAGCCATACTCCAACCACTCTTCACGGTGTCGGTCAAATCCACTGGAACACCTACAGAAAAGGGAAGCGTGTAACCAAGTATGCATCTAACCTACAAATATAGACCCGCTTGGTGACATTTTCACTGCCATGGCTTTCCCAAGGAATAAGTTTGTGTTGTGTGTATTGGGACGATCTGGTATCTTTTTTGCTTCCCTGCACATGTGTTGCTTTAGCAAAAGGTAGAAATGCAGAAGAACTGCACACGATGCAGGAGGAAGACAGACGACAGTGTTTTGTTCCCCATGGGAGATTGCAAAATGTTTGATACTTGACAGCTGATGGCCGAAGAATTGATGCTTTTGAATTACGGTGCTGGAGGAGACTCTTGAGAGTCCCATGGACTGCAAGAAGATCAAACCTATCCATTCTGAAGGAAATCAGCCCTGAGTGCTCACTGGAAGGACAGATCCTGAAGCTGAGGCTCCAATACTTTGGCCACCTCATGAGAAGAGAAGACTCCCTGGAAAAGATCCTGATGTTGGGAAAGATGGAGGGCACAAGGAGAAGGGGACGACAGAGAATGAGATGGTTGGATGGTGTTCTTGAAGCTACCAGCATGAGTTTGATCAAACTGCGGGAGGCAGTGGAGGACAGAAGTGCCTGGCGTGCTCTGGTCCATGGGGTCACGAAGAGTCGGACATAACTAAACGACTAAACAACAACAACATCAAGTAAGCCACACCCCACATAACTGATCACATGATGTGGTGCACACACACCATTTTGCGGGGGGCACTCAAATATTTTATGGGGGAGGCAAAGACCCCCTCGGCCCCTAGGAGGTGGCTCCTATGCTAGGAAGAAACCAGGCCTGAGATATGCAAGAATCTTCTCATGCAAAGACATGCACTTATGAAACCTTACCCATTTCACCAGAACTAGAAATATATACAAATTAACTATTTTTCAAGTTAGATGCACCATAGCTCAGTGGTAGAACGTCAGGTTTACATGCAGAAAACCCCAGGTTGAATCTTCAACATCCCTAGGTAGGCCTTCGAGAGAGTCTATGCCAGATCGTGTAGAAAGCAGCTTCCTGTGTTTCTATGAGTTAGCAATCAAGGTTTCTTTCAAGTACCCATAAAAATATCACTTCCTGGAGATATTAAGGAACACAGCCTAGTCCCTTCCCCTAAACACACCACCACCCAGCCTCCTTGGGTTGCTAAAGCATTTTGCGGCTTTTATGGCCTCCTGTAAGGAGTGCACTCCCTTCAAAATGCCTACAGAACTAGCAGTAGAAAGCTAGCAATAGGAGTATCTGGCCTCAATTCTGTGTGGGAGGGCTAGGTTATTTTTAAGTATATGGTTTTATAATCGGAATCCCCAGATGGGTGTACTGTACCAGATACACAAACAAGCGAATGTAACAAGCAGGGAGACCAAAAGGGCTTTCCCTGAGGAACTGGGAGACTCCATGCCAACACAGCTGGGCCGGAAGACTCTGAAATGTTCCTTCTTGCTGATGGGATTTTCTGTCTCTGCTGGAGAACAGCTTAACCTTACTCTTCAAGAGAGATGGAAAACTTGGGAAACCGCATCCCGTTTGCATCTGCATAGGCTGATTTTGGATTTCAGTACACGGGGTGCACAGTAAGGCAGCGCCCCCCCAAATGCAGCTTGTTGGTTTTCCGAACGTTTTGGAAGTCGAACAGACTTCCGGAACGGATTCCGTTCGACTTCCAAGGTACGACTGTACTGCAAATCATATTGCAAGTCATCTTGGATATTAAAGACTCAAACTGGGCAGGTTTGAACAGTTTGGGGCAATTAAAATGTTAAAAGTTAAATAAAGCTTGTGGAGGGAGGAGTGTTAAGGTATATAGAATTGTACATATGGTTGATTTGAATATGTTATTATTGATTATGTATACCGCATGTATCAGCCGCCTGGGGGTTTTCACTGTTTGTTTTCACTGTTTGTGTTTTGGTTGTTGGTAAAAAAATAAAAACAATAAAAATAAATAAAAAACAAAGACTCAAACTGTAAAGACTAGCCACACATCTTGGGCAGCTGGTTACATATCAAGTATCGGGGCGCTTTGGGCAGGCTAAGCTGCAGGCAAATGTTGTTGTTTATTTGTGTCCGACTCTTCGTGACCCCATGGACCAGAGCACGCCAGGCACTCCTGTCTTCCACTGCCTCCCACAGTTTGGTCAAACTCATGTTAGTAGCTTCGAGAACACTTTCCAACCATCTCGTCCTCTGTCGTCCCCTCCTCCTTGTGCCCTCCATCTTTCCCAACATACTGCAGGCAAATAGGTAAAGGTAAAGGGACCCCTGACCATTAGGTCTAGTCGTGGCCGACTCTGGGGTTGCGGCGCTCACCTCACTTTCTTGGCCGAGGGAGCCGGCGTACAGCTTCCGGGTCATGTGGCCAGCATGACTAAGCCGCCTCTGGCGAACCAGAGCAGCACACGGAAACGACGTTTACCTTCCCGCCGGAGCGGTACCTATTTATCTACTTGCACTGGCGTGCTTTCGAACTGCTAGGTTGGCAGGAGCAGGGACCGAGCAACGGGAGCTCACCCCGTCGTGGGGATTCGAACCCCCGACTTTCTGATTGGCAAGTCTTAGGCTCTGTGGTTTAACCCACAGTGCCACCCGTGTCCTTCTGCAGGCAAATAGCAAACTGCAAATATGACATGAAGGCAGGCAACATCATCGACCCCGCCATGTAGGAATCCCTCTGCAGACAACCGCAGTGCCTGGAGACAGACAGACAGACTTACAGACCATGCATCCACAGCAGTGACCAGAGGAGAAATGACAAGCACAGAGAGAAGCAACGCCATGGTGCGTCTGCAGCAGCACAACGGGACGCCTTCATCTGACCCAGCTGTAACAAAGCATGTCTCTACAGCCACAGCAGGTGCCCGATAGTTTGACTTCACCCCCAAAGGCACACCTCTCCAATGTCTCCTGAGACAGATGTGTGCCAGCTAAGATCCTCCCAAGTCGGTGGTGAGGAACAAGCTATACATTCACAGTAGCATGATGCTTTACCACCTTAGTGCATATGCAGAATTCTCAAATACTGTTCATTTATAATGACACAGAAGTTTGTCACTGGATGTCCCACAAGGAATCAAAATAAAGCAAAAGCCAAGGCTTCATTTTAATAAAGCAAAGCATCCATCCCAGTCAAACTATCCTTCTTTGCATCTGGTTACAACACTGGTTCTGGGCACTGTGAGCAGGAATGGATTAACTCCCCATTTCTCATGGCACTTCCCACAAAGTCTGCCTGTTGTTTGCTCTGAAAACAGGACACCCCATTCAGCTAAGTCATGAAGCCGCTAGAATTCTTCTTCTCCTTCTCCTTCTCTATTAAATTTATATACCGCTTTATACCCGGGGGTCTCAGGGTGGTTCACAGAATAAAATCAAGATATAAAACCACAAAATACCTAATAAAAATAAAAACAACAGCCCATTACCACCCACAAAAAACCCATTTAAAAGGGCATAGGATGTAGATCAGATCAACTAAACGCCTGGTTGGAAAGGAATGTTTTTGCCTGGTGCCTAAAGGTGTGTAATGAAGGCGCCAGGCAAACTTCCCTGAGGAGAGCTTTCCACAGACTGGGAGCCACTGCAGAGAAGGCCCCGTTCTCGTGTTTGCCACCCTCTGGACTTCTCGAGGAGGAGGTACATGAATGAGGGCCTCAGATGATGACCTCGGTCTGGGTAGGTTCATATGGAAAGAGGCAGTCCTTGAGGTATTACGGTCCTGAGCAGTTTAAGGCTTTACAGGTCAAAAACAGCACTTTGAATTGGGCCCGGAAACTAATTGGTAGCCAGTGCATACTTTCCTAAACTTGCTTTCGAAAAAGCTTGTAATTGAACTGCCCTCCCCACGAAAAAATATTTGCTACATCTTTATTCTGTCATATCCCTACATAAGTGTGGTGCAGGGCAATCAAGGCAGGACTTTGGGGCAGAAATACAAACCGGCCGCTCAGTCAAATGAGTACAAGGGTTCCCATAAGGATGCCTTGCCACATTTTGAAGTAAGGGACATTGCCATCTAAAGAGGGAGGATCCTTCTTCCCACCCCCTATCCTGAGATCATTAAATCCCAGGGTCTAAAATTACCTAGCTGCACCATAAATAGGACAAGACTAGAGGGAGCTAATTTGACTTTTGAGGTGTGAATGTGCATCCCCTCCCACATTTGTGTGCCTTACCTCTGCAGGACATGACACCAGCTGCAGTTGAAGGTTAGGTCAGATGTGGTACAAACTTCGCAGCTCTGGTGCTGGAGGCAAGCTGCAAAGGGAAAGAGGAAAAGCATGAGAGCTCTAAAACTTGCTTTCCAAAATGAGAGGAGCCAACGCAGAAGCCAGCCTGGAAGATGTGCTTTCTGAGTGTTGGATGGCTGGCTACCTGGGAGTCAAAAAGGTAAAGGGACCCCTGACCATTAGGTCCAGTCGTGGCCGACTCTGGGGTTGCTGTGCTCATCTTGCTTTATTGGCCGAGGGAGCCGGCGTACAGCTTCCGGGTCATGTGGCCAGCATGACTAAGCCGCTTCTGGCGAACCAGAGCAGCGCACGGAAACGCCGTTTACCTTCCCGCCGGAGTGGTACCTATTTATCTACTTGCGCTTTGACGTGCTTTCGAACTGCTAGGTGGGCAGGAGCAGGGACTGAGCAACGGGAGCTCACCCCGTCATGGGGATTCGAACTGCCGACCTTCTGGTCGGCAAGTCCTAGGCTCTGTGGTTTAACCCACAGCGCCACCTGCGTCAGCTACCTGGGACACCAGGGTTCAAATTCCCACTCAACCACGAAGCTGACTGGGTGACTTTGGGCCAGTGACTGTCTCTCAGCCTAACCTACCACAAAGGGTTGCTGTGAAGGATTAAATGAGGAGGGGGGATAATTATGTCTGGCACTTCGAGCTCCTGGGGTGGGGGGAAGCTGGCATATAATGTGCAATAAATAAAGTTAATGCATGCAATTTTTATGCAAATCCACCCCTCTTTTTTGGTGCTAAGTGGCCACTCTGTGCCGAAACCTCTTCCCTTGACTGCTGAGAAAGTTTGTGTGTTAATCTGAAACCATTTTCCTCACCCCACCCTGCAAATCTGACCCTACTCTCAAGGTCTTGGCCAGGGACACCCTCCCAGAATTCAAGAGAAATGAAGGAAAGCCGAGATGTTTCCCAACTTAAAAGTAAAAAACCTTTTGTTCCTCTTTTCTTGGAACAAACTGGTACGTAGCAATCTCTCAGAGTCGCAGCAAAAAGCTGGAAGCACTTGTGATTCTATTCATAACAGCAAAACGGGGGTGTGGGGGATGTATCCCAATCTCCTTCCATTGTGTTGGCAGCGGATTTTAACAAGCCTTTTTCCCTCAGGGAGAAGCATTCGGCATGTCACCGAAGAAAATAGTTTCACGCTGATTTCATCGATCACCCCTCGCTTGTGCTTGGATCCGAAATTTTCCGGCAAGTGTCTCAACATGACTTCCATTCCCTCTTAGCTCTTAAGGCCAAACTGGGCGTGCACAGGGAAGGCATGGACAGCTTAGTGGTGCCATCACGGCAGGATTTGGGGGCAGAGGCCTAGGGCCCCGCTCAGCGTAATGCGCAGGAGGGCTCCCAAATGTAGTAGGGCTGTTGGATTTTAACATACAGTATTTTGACGTGATATGCCTTGCCATCTAAAGCACACTGCCACCTACCAATATCTAGCGGCCCCACTGCGACAACTTTTTGTTTTATGTATATGAAAAAACCTGGTTATTGTGTGGTTATTATGGAGATGGTGAGGAAGACGCTGTCTAGAGCAGGCACCCCCAACTTGCGGCCCTCCAGACGTATTGGCCTACAACTCCCATGATCCCTAGCTAACAGGACCAGTGGTCAGGGATGATGGGAATTGTAGTCCAAAACATCTGAAGGACCAAAGGTTGGGGGTGCCTAGTTTAGAGCTCTCTGGGCGTAAGGTGGGGTATGAAATGCAACACGTAGGAAAATCGTTTCCCCCGTTCCATTTTTAATAGTTACAAGTTTACATATCCATGCTTTGTTTTTTTTAATATTTCAGGGTCAGCGGTACTCCCTGCCACTAGAGCTCATTAGGACTCTTTTCTCCTTTGGAATACCTTTAACACTTCCTCATAGTAGTAGTAGTATAGGCTACTTAAACATTGTCAAAAGAAAGAAAGAAAGAAAGAGGAAGGAAGGAAGGAAGGAAGGAAGGAAGGAAGGAAGGAAATTGCAGTACATATCTCCATGAAAATTTGCATATGCTAACTTATAGGTTTATGTGCAAATTTACAGATACAGACTCTGATTTAAATCAGGGTGGGGCAAGAGTTAAAAGCATGCGGACCAGCCAATATTTTTTTTTACCCTTGTATAGGTGACTAGTTTCTACGCACAGAGCTCTCTGCCCTGCAACCAGGCAACCGGAGAGTCATTAAGTTCAAACACGCAATTCCAGTTGGATGAAAAGACCTGAAGTGTGAAGCAGGGCCGGTGAAGCATGTGCCCTGAAAAGAGATCTGAGGGCCACAGAGAGGCCTGGGGGCCACATCCGTGCCATAGACTCTTTTCATCTGATTTTTGGTCCTCATTCCAAAGTGGTCATAAAAGACTTGTGTGTGTGTGTGTGTGTGTGTGTGTGTGTGTGTTTAACACAACAACAGGTTATTTTCTTCTCCCCCCCCTTTTTTTACACAATTTCAGAGCGCTTATTTATAGCCTGCGCTGCAGCAGACTGAGCCTGCTGTTTGGGTTGTCATAAAACACCCAACAGATATGGCTTAAGCGCATAACCTTGGCATTTCCCGGACAGGTTTATCCTCCGCTGGGTATTTATGGAGGCAAGCAGGATGTTTTTGTTTTCCCTGGCGTTGTCCTCGTGGGCTAAATGCTATCTCTTTAACCATCTCCTTTGTGATGCATCTCAAGGAGTGGAAGGTACAGAACGTGCTGCTGCGAAGAGTGCTTAGTGGATTATTATTATCATTATTTCCCCTTTTTATTTTTTCATTTCATTTTTCATTCTACCCCTTCTTCATCACAAACGGGGTTACAATAAACCAAGTCCATGAAAAGCCATTGAGATGTTAGAGAATGTCTTTTTAAAAAAACAACAACAAAAAAACCACAAAACCCAGCTATTTGTTGAATACATAATTGTTGGGGTCTTTCCCCACTTTAATCAATGGGATTTTGCTTCCTAGCTAGCTTCCAGTTTTTTAATGCCTGCAAAGCAGTGACAAACAACCAGAAGCCTCTGGTCACACCCACATAATACATTTAAAGTGCATGGCTCCCCCCCCCCCAAAAAAAAACCCCACACACACAATGCTGGGAGTTGTAGCTTGTTAAGAGTGCTGAGAATTATAGTTCTGTGAGAGGTAAACTACACTGTCCAGGATTCTTTAGGGAAGCGGAGCCATGTGTTTTAAATGTATGATGTGGATGTGACCCTTGTCAAACATCCACCTTGCAGTCAGCCCCCACTTTGGTCTCCCTGTCACATTTTAGTGGCCAACGTCTGGAGTTGCCACATGCTGAGTCAGATCAGGGAAGATCTCCTATAGCTCAGTGGCAGATCACTTGTTTTGAGTGCAGAAGGACCCAATATCAGTCCCCGGCATCTTCAGGTACAACTGCGGAAGCCTCTTGCCTGTAAAGGTAAAAGGTAAAGGACCCCTGGACAGTTAAGTCCACTCACAGGTGACTATGGGGTTGCGGCGCTCATCTCGCTTTTAGGCCGAGGGAGCCGCCGTTTGTCCACAGACAGCTTTCCAGGTCATGTAGCCAGCATGACTAAACCGCTTCTGGCACAACGGGACTCCATGTCAGGAACCAGAGCGCACGGAAACATCGCTTACCTTCCCACCACAGCGGGATCTATTTATCTACTTGCACTGGCGTGCTTTCGAACTGCTAGGTTGGCAAGAGCTGGGACAGAGCAACAGGAGCTCACCCCATCGTGGGGATTTGAACCGCTGACCTTCCGGTTGACAAACCCAAGAGGCTCAGCGGTTTAGACCACCTGTGTCCCTGTACACCTGGACATCTGCATTCACTCAGTGCAGCGGTCTGAGTCAGTATGGAGCATCTCCTTCCCTTCCTGTGTCCATGCAGCTCAGCATGGTCTCCTTTGATGGAGAGCAGACCTAAAAAAAAAAAAATTCCTCCAATGTGGCTACAAGCCACAACACTAATGTAATGTGGAGTTAGGCCGCAAGACTTCAGCAGGGAAGAGAATCTATGCACACATTTCCAACCATCTCCCTCAGATTTAAGGGTTTCTGCCTTACTCAGCTATGGCTGCAAGTGGGGAAGTGGGAGAAGGCAAGAGCAAACTGAGGGATGTCCTTAGTCACAAAGAAGGAATATGAACAGCTCCCTTCTCTCCAAAACCCCCTGCTAAATGCATCTTCGTATTGTCATCTTTACGCCCAGGAAGGCTTTCCTCACACACATCCTTATCTAACTCATGACAACAGTGCTTGAGACTCCATGTGCTAGAGGCATGCTTCATAATGCGCTTCCGACTCACTGGGCAAGGGCACAAACTCCACAGCCGATGCACTAGTGATCTTGCTGGTGTCCAGCTCCACTCGGTGATATTCGTAGATGGTCCGACGGTGAGCTTCTAAAAAAAAAGGCAAAGATGGGGATATTCAATTAAAGCGGGTCTCTGCCCTCTGTCTTGTGGGGCGCAGTCTCATATTGCAGATCTCTGCACAGTTGGTGAAGCTCGTGAGCAATTTTGGAACACCTCTGGCATTTTAGGGGCTGGGAGAAAACTTTTTGGCCCCCAACTCCCTATATAGCAGGAGATCCCTGGACAATGTAGAATCCAGCTTCTCCCTTCTTTGGGTGTTCACCGTATTTTTTGCTCCATAAGACGCACTTTCTTCTTCCTAAAAAGTAAGGGGAAATGTCTGTGTGTCTTATAGAACAAATGTGTGGTCCCTGGAGCCGAATTGTTCATGACTACAGCCTGCACCCAAAAAATCATGCACCCAGTGTTGCGTGGGGCCGCAATGGAGCAAAAACATGGTTACAAAGCATGGATCCACATGGATCCTCAGGATTTTTGCATTGGGCTACCCCAGACTCAACATCTGTGGCCACAGCACGAACCACAAAAATCATACATCCACTGTTTCGTTCAGAATATTTTTTTTCTTGTTTTCCTCCTCTATAAACTAGGTGCGTCTTATGGGCAGGTGCATCTTTTGGAGCGAAAAATACGGTATTTACTTGGCCAATAACCAGTTGAGCTCTCTTCTTTGGAAAGCATATTCCCTTTTGCTTACTGCACAAGGGGTAGGAGAATATGGCTGGAGGTTGTTGGCTTATGGTGGTAGGCATGTCACTCAGCCCTGGCACTGTCTGTCTAAAATAAGAACCCATCAGAAGAATGGAGGAACCTCAGATGAGCCCTGCAGGAGGAGAGCAATGATCTATCTAGTCAAGCATCCTCTTTCCCACAGTGGCCAAGCAGATGCCTATGGGAAGCCCGCAAGCAGGACAGGAGGACAATAGCTATTGCCCTCTGCGGCTCTTCAGCAACTGGTCCTCTGAACTTGGAGCTCTCCAGCCAATAAGTCTATCTGTCTAGGGATCCACTCCCATCCTTCTCCTCTTCCAAATAGCCCAGACTCACCAGGCACGCCAGGGGAGGAGTTACGGATCATGAAAGCGTCTGAGAGTCCAGCTTTGACGGGATGTTGTGTAGAACTAATCTCCAGGACAGACATGGGGATCTGGAGCCAGGAAAGGGGGAAGAAGGCTTAGAAAATCCCATCCATGGAGTTAAAGAAAGGTAATTCCACACCCGCTCTTAGAGTGTCTCTGCTCCTAAATGGCTAAGACTTTGATGAACTTCTTAGCAGAGGAAACAACAAAGAACTGGAGTCTCACCACACCTTTTAGTTCTGTGCTGTCATGCGTAGGCAAACTAAGGCCTGTGGGCTGGATCCAGCCCAATCACCTTCTAAATCTGGTCCACGGATGGTCCAGGAATCAGCATGTTTTTACATGAGTAGAATGTGTCCTTTTATTTAAAATGCATATCTGGGTTATTTGTGGGGCCTGCCTGGTGTTTTTACATGAGTAGAATGTGTGCATTTATTTAAAATGCATCTCTGGGTTATATGTGGGGCATAGGAATTCATTCTTTTTCCCCACCTTCAAAATATAATCCGCCCCCCCACAAGGTCTGAGGGGCAGTGGACTGGCCCCCTGCTGAAAAAAATTGCTGACCCCTGACCTATATTTTATCTTTTAACCAAAAGATAAAAGAACATTCACTGACTAAAAGTGCTCAACCTGCAATGGCAAAAAAGAAGAAGAACAAATTCTATCCCACCCTACTAAAAGATGAACACCAATACAGGCTAGGGCATCTTCAAACCATATTATTCCAATAAAGAGCCAAATGCCTAGGTGAAGAGGAACGTCTTTACTTAGTTCCCAATGATGGTTCCAGGCACATCACTCTGGGAAGAGCATTCTACAACCAGGAGCCACCACCCATAAGGCCTATATTCATATTGGCGCTGCCACCCCGCACCTCCCCGGAGGGATGGGGACGGACACACACACGAAGAAGGGCCTCAGATAATGAGCCTGGTTCAGGTAGATTCATGCAAGGAGAGGCGGTCTCTAAGGTATTGGTGTCTCAAGCTGCCTAAGGTGTTATAGGACAAAACCAGCACTTTGAATTGAGCCCAGAAACTAACTCCCCTCACCTCTTTGTAGCCAAAGACTATTCTGCCATCACTGTGCAAAGCTGCCTGGAAGTCAAAAGAGCCTCTGTCTTCTTTTCCTTCCAGGTACACTTGGTCCCACTGAACCACAAAGACTGTCCCTGAAGAGGAAGAAGAGCAGGAGAAGGGGTGAGAATATGAGAAGGCCATTGGTTTACCCTAACAGCTGGCATGGGGACTAGGAACTTGAAACTTCCGCTATCATTCACAGATTCAAGGAAGGAACTCAGAAGCCAACTAGCCATGCTCCCTGCCAAGAACAAGGCAGGGCCACCCACTTGCCCATAGATTAGCCCAACCCAGACTTTTCCATCTTGGTGCCTTGTGGACATTGCTGAACTACAATTCCCATCATCCCTGAACAGTGGCCTGAACAGTCTAGGGCTAATGGGAGTTATCAATATCATAAAGGCATAAAGGCAAACTGAGTTGGTACTATAGTCAGAGGCGCCAGCTTCTCAACATGGTTGAGGGGGCTTGACACAACATTCTGACATCACGTATGCGAAGTCGTAAGGAGTCAGGGGGCGGAGCTGAACACCCTCTGAATATTGATGGGACCTGGTTCCCTAAAAGGGGGGGGGCTCCAAAGTCCCTTAGCCCCCAGGAGCTGGTTCCTATGACGATAATCCAGCTATACTTCTCGATTGCAAAACAAATAGACCTGCGCGAAAAGCACCTAAGCAGAGAATTTTGGGTTTTCACATTTTGCTTTGCAAAGTAAAGGCTGGTTCTAGTGTTAAACAAAACGGGAGATACTAAGCGCTCCCAATGATTTTTTCCCCAACTCTGCATGTGAAGAGGACTCACCGTTGTCAAAGTATTTGACGGTGGAATTTCGAGAGTAGCTGGGATTGAAGTTTGCCATGAGAGGAGCAACATATTGCGTGGCTGTCAGCATCCGATGAATGACGTCCCCCATGAAGATGAAGCCTGGAAAAGAGACCGAGGGAGGGAGGGAGACAAGCTATTTTATGTCACCATCTACAATCCTGTTGCCTTCTTCCCCAGAGACTCCTAGGAACCCCAGGGTCACTTTCTAGAGAGCCAGAGTGCTGCCGTGACACCAGTGGAAGCAGATTCAGAACTGCAGGGGCTCTTCAGGATAGCCACAGCTACACACCCTCACAGCCGCAACCCCTTCTAAGAGTACACAACCTTCTAAGCTTCTACAATAATCTTACAATTATACAATAATAATAATTAGGGATGTGTTGCAACAATCAGTGCAGATCTCCATGTCCTGCCTTTCAGCTAGGTCTACTATTTTCTGTACACATACATGGGCAAATGATTTGGAGGGTGGCAATAACTTCTTTCAGAGTGACTTCAGTTGAAAAAAAGAAAAGAAAAAATTAACTGGTTTTTCAAACAAATACAAATACAATAACCATTAAACACTTATCCTGCAGTACAGCTAATGATGTTTGCTTTATCCATTGTCTCTAGACCTACACTTACACATCTGACATTCAAACATATTACTTAACGTAACCCCTCCCCTGAGAATATTGAATGGTTGGTATAGCAAGGTCTGATCACTGCAGATGGTGACAGCGGTCACGAAATTAAAAGACTCCTGCTTCTTGGGAGAAAAGCAATGACAAACCTAGACAGCATCTTAAAAAGCAGAGACATCACCTTGCCGACAAAGGTCTGTATAGTTAAAGCTATGGTTTTCCCAGTAGTGATGTATGGAAATGAGAGCTGGACCATAAAGAAGGCTGCTTGCCAAAGAATTGATGCTTTTGAATTATAGTGCTGGAGGAGACTCTTGAGAGTCCCATGGACTGCAAGAAGATCAAACCTAGCCATTCTTAAGGAAATCAGCCCTGAGTGCTCACTGGAAGGACAGATCCTAAAGCTGAGACTCCAATACTTTGGCCAATTCATGAGAAGAGAAGACTCCCTGGAAAAGACCCTGTGTTGGGAAAGATTAAGGGCACAAGGAGAAGGGGATGACAGGACGAGATGGTTGGACAGTGTTCTCGAAGCTACGAACATAAGTTTGACCAAGCTGTGGGAGGCAGTGAAAGACAGGAGTGCCTGGTGTGCTCTGGTCCATGGGGTCACGAAGTGTCGGCCACGACTAAATGACTAAACAACAATATAACAAGGTCTACCTTTTTTTGGAAGGTGTCTCTGTTTGCTGTGCCTTTAATTGCCCTCCTGTGTCTGGTGTGACGCCCAGACATTGCTGCATCCCATATATTCTTTTTCCATATGTTCAGGGGCAGTAACTTGTGCTTCCCCTGAAGTTTCATTGCACACCATTCCGTGGAAACAGATGCACCTTGCGGCGTTTTTGTATTCCTAAAGGCTTAGCATGCAGAACCACTCCTCCTCAATGCTCTGTGGGCAAAAAGATTCCTGCATTGCGGAGAGTTGGACTAGATGACCCTTGTGGTCCCTTCCAGCTCTGCAATTCTATGATTCCCATGCGTTTTCTCCAGAGCGACCCTAGGAGCCAATCCTCAGTGGCTGACTCATCTCCTGATTGGCTCCAATGGGCACAAAGGGGGAAAAGACTTCTTCTCAGCAGCTAAAAAGGCTCCCCTTTCATACTGCTGACACACACAGACACACAACTCAGGACCACTCTATTAGACTGGTCTCAACTAGGGCCAGGGCCTTTTCAGTACTGGCCCCGACTTGGTGGAACACTCTGTCACAAGAGACCAGGGCCTTGCGGGACTGGACATCTTTCCGCAGGGCCTGCAAGACAGAGCTGTTCTGCCTGGCCTTTGGTTTGGTTCAGTCTGACCCTTATGTTTCCCTCCCCTTATGGTCTTGATTTATCAGCTACTTTTAAAATGAGGCTGCATTTTAAATTGCATTTTAACCTGTATTTTAAATTGGTCCCCCCCCCCCATTATGTTTTTTACTGTGATTTTATTGGTGTTAGCTGCCCTGAGCCCGGCTCTGGCCGGGGAGGGCGGGGTATGAATATTATTATTATTGTTGTTGTTGTTGTTGTTGTTCAATCCCACTCAGTTATGAAGCTCGCTAGGCCAGTCGCCATCTCTCAGCCTAACCTCCCTCACAGGGTCGTTGTGGAGAGCGAGGGGAGAGGAACATGCATCCCCTTTCGCATGCCGCAGAGGACGGGCAGGTTAAACACGCAATGCAACAAATAAATAAAACCCACTTTGCTAGCCACCAAACCAAAGGCATCATTGCTCTGGTGGGAGAAGGGGAGGGGAGGTGGGTTTTGCTTCAGCGGCATCGTGGAGACATAAAATCATCAAGCTGACCGTCTTGCTCAGCTACGAGGCAAACCTTTCAAGGCTCGCTGCTGTGCTGAAAACCTAGACTGCAGGATTTCAGAGCAGAGGGGGCAAGCCATTCCGGTCCTCAGAGCTAGGCTAGCAACACAGCTGCTGCCAGCTGGGCGGCGGAGGTGACGGCAAGGAAGGTGGAGAAACGAGAAATTCCAGTAAACACCACAGATAGATTCCAGATGTCGCCACAAGTGGGAGCGCAGGAGGTCCAGAGAGGTCAGGAGGGGCAGAAGGATGAGTTGAGGCAGAACAGATTTTCAGAAGAAGCAATGGTGGTTGTGACTCACGCTTGCTCTGTGATCTGCCCCGTCTCCTGAACACAGAAATGTACAGAGCTGAAGCTATCTTATACCAAATCAAACAATTGGTCAATCTAGCTCAGTATTATTTACACTCTCCAAAAGGGAACATTCCCAGCCGTCCCTGGAAATGTTGGAGACTGAAACTGTGACCTTCTGTGTGTGTAGAGCAAGTGCTCTTCTGCTTGACTGTGGGCAGCCCACGAAGTGACTTGGACATCAGGGATGCCCTCTGGCCGCCATTTGCCTGCCTTCTCTTTCAGCCCCTCATTCCAGAGCTTCTTGAAGCATCTCAGAATCATGGAATTGTAGATCTGGAAGGGACCACGAGGGTCATCTAGTACAACCCCTTAGAATGCAGGAATCTTTCACTCAAAATTGGGGCTCAAACCTACGATCCTGAGATGAAGAGCCCTGTGTTCTATTGGCTGAGCTTGGTAGTAGGGCGGTCACTTTTGCATTGTGAGTGAGGAGCTGGGCATACAGAACTTGCACACAATTTGCATGTGCTATTTTTTATGAATAGATGTGTTATGTACTGAGTTGAATAGGATCCAAATGCAGCAGTCTGATTGGTCCTAGAACAATAGGATTCAGAATGCAGCAGTCTGATGGGTCCTAGAACAATGCAGCAGTATGATTGGTCGCAGCAGCCACCCAATCCAGCTCCAGGTGGAAGTGAATCCGCAACCTGATTGGCCTACAGGAGAATCCAGGAATTAGCCAATCATGTACAGCCCATTGTGTAAATAATGTATATAAAGCAGATATTTTGGGGGAACTTTCATTCCTCACTACTATGAGCTGAATAAAGAGCATGAAATCCACACTGGACTCCGAGTATATTTCAAGATGCAAGAGCAGAAATTATTGCTATGGTTTAAATAGAAATAAAGTCACATCTCTCTGTAGAATGTGACCAGGTGACCTGGGTGCCCACTAAGTCTGTTGTCCAGGTTGCTGGGGAGCAACGTTAAGGCCCCTCCTGCCCTCCCTTCTCATGGTTCTTTATCTCTAAGCTGGACTTGGACTGGCCAGCTTTTCAAATAGAGGGCTGTCCTTGGGAAAAAATAGGACACACAGACACCCTACTTGGAAGGAGGGAGAGCATACGAATGAGAATAATTTCTGGTAATTATCAATTTGCTTTCCTTCTAGGCCAGGAGAGTGGAGCCTTCCAGCTGCTGTTGGACTCCACCTCCCAAACACCATAGACCAGTGACTAGGGATGATGGGAGTTGTAGTCTGGAGGGTCACAGGTTCCCCAATGATGTTATGTGGAAAATCCAGGCCAGGGCACATGAGTAAGAGAAATAAATTATCGTATTGCAGGTTCACTTCAGAGTCCCCCTCAATCAACGCTTTCCCCCCATTTCAGGAAGCAGAAATATAGAGCCTAGTCTTGCTGGAAAGGCAACAGTGAGATTGGCCGGAGTGGGGCAAAACCAGGCCCACACTTCCCACCCAAAGTGGCTGCAGTCCAAGCACTTAGGGTAAAGGAATAGGGATATCACAAAGGACGTTGCCATGTTGCTTCTAGTACCTTTGCTACAGGCACTCCTCACCCCCCTCAGTATTCTGAAAATCTTTGCAAAAAACCAACATCCCTTAAACCCAGTGTGGTACCCAGTGAAGCTCACCTCCGGTTGCTATGGTGACTTGCCGCAGGTAATGCCCATAGAAGGGGAAGTCAAATGATAGGATGACTCTCTGTAGGAGGATAGATGGGAATAACAGCGTTAAGACAGGAGGCTTGTTGGGTGATATGTTGAGCATGTTCACGACCCCAAATTTCCACAGGGTTCAAGATCAAATGGAGGAACTTGTAAGCGTACAAATATAGGCTTGAGCATGAAGGAATGGTGGGGACGGAATCCAGATTCTGTGCCAAGGAAAGCCAGTAATTAAACTAAATGCTTGCAAATTAAGCAGATGTGCATGTATTTACCTACTGGCATAATTTATTCTGTTTCTGCTCGTCACAGAGAGGGGCAAGGAGCTTTGCAAAATACGGGAGTTGCACCCCATCCCCTCCTCTGGCTTCTGAGAATTTGTCAAAAACTGCAGGTATATTTTCCAGCCCATCTTTGCTGCCATTTATTATGTATATAAAACGAGGCTGAGATTCTTAAGGTGCTGAATCCTACTACACTTGTGTGAGGCTTTACTGGAAGTACAGCTCACATTCCTGGGGTACAGATTTCGTTGGTGGAGGGCAAGATGTTGGCACAAATGGGCTCCCCTTCTCAAGATGAAACCCTTGATGGAGGAGTGCAACCCTTGTGTGAATTCATTCGTGCAAATAATAACTGATCCAACAAATTCATAAAACTATTCCCCCTAACTTGCAACACTTTATTCTCCGTGTATTCCCCTATAATAAAAAGGCTCTATTGTTATGTACAGTCTCCACCTCCCTCCCCTTGGAAGTTCATTTAATTTTAAGGTTTCACTCAAAATATTGGAGAAAATATGATCCATTTGGGTGGAGGGGGAAAGGACAACAGAGCCAAGATATTGGTGTAGGTCTGTGTTTATGTAAATGTCCCAGACAAAAAACACATGGTGTTAACTCATACAATACCTGCACAACATATGCTAACGCTACAGTGAAGATAAGCAATCTTTCTGTATTTTTCTTTTCTTTTCAGTACCTCTCTGGGATGTGAAGGTATTTTGTTAATTAACCTTTCAGTTAAGGTTTATGTCCGCGCTACGTTGTAGTAATACAATTTGTATCGGATTATTATGGTTCCTCTACTTCTATCGCATTTTAGACTGTTTTCAGTAAACTGCTTTGAGCACAAATGTATTTGTAGGAAATGCGGTAATTAAATAAACTGGCTATGACTGTGACTAAGAGTTTATGAGTTTAGAAAAATCAATGGCCAAGGCTTTAGAATTCTGTGAGATGCCTGCACAGAGAAGAATAGGCTGACAACACAATTGCTGATTTATGTTGCTGCTGCAGTTATAAGATAAGCAGATGTTTTAGTATTGATTTGCTGGTCACACCTTGTAGGAGCTCAGGAATGGCTAGTTAGCAGCATAGTGCTAAACCATGGTTTGTTCAAGTTGTTTATTTAACAAACCATGAGTTAATCACAAGTTGTCCTACAGGCAATCAAAGAAAACATGGCTTGTTTCCAACATGTTACTTTGTTTTCCAGCTCCTCCTCCCTTGTGCTTTTGTAGTTAGACGAGTATCTGGGTGGCATCATCAAACAAACCATGGTTAGGAAAGCGTGCTGGTTTTACACGTAATACTACGCCATGATTAAAACTAACCAAAGCTCATAAACCAACAACAAATCACACTTAAACTTCCAGTCAGGTCTCACACCTGCTAAACCATAGCTTAACAAACCATAGTTTAGTGTTTTGTGTTATGTGCAGAAATACCTGCTTCTCCCTACGCTGATACAGCAGTTAAAATAAGGAGATGTTGGCATTTCAGCCCTCAATTTTTTTTTAACATAGGTAGAGGGAAGCCAAAATATGACAAGATGAAATGTTTTCTAGTCAGCTTCCCCCTGCACCGTAAAACTTTATCTATTTTCTATCAAAATCTTGGAAACTAATCACGGTTTGGAGGGAAAGGACAACCAAAGAAAAGTGGCTGGAAAAGCAATGGCAGGTTGTTGGTAGCAATGGATACATAGACAGGTAAGCACATAGCCAACAGGTGAAAAGAGATGCTCACCGAGGCTTGCCTATGCGTATTGGAGAGGATTCCATGGACTTTGACTTGGCTCCTGTTGGCTGCTGTAACTTCTACCCATAGTTCCTTGGCTCGTGCTTCACTTGGACCGTACGTTCGAGATATATAGTAGTTGTGGTTGTCTTCCTGAGTAGAGAGAAACAGTTGGGGTAACTACAGGCATAAGGCGCACCCGTTGCCAAAGCAGTTCATCTCCCATCGAAACATCCAGATGTGTGTGCGAGGGTGGGCAGATGAAGAAGAAGGCGAAGAAGAAGAAGAAGAGGAATTTGGACTTGATATCCCGCCTTTCACTCCCCTTAAGGAGTCTCAAAGCAGCTAACAACCTCCTTTCCCTTCCTCCCGCACAACAAACACTCTGTGAGGTGAGTGAGGCCGAGAGACTTCAGAGAAGTGTGACTAGCCCAAGGTCACCCAGCAGCTGCATGTGGAGGAGCGGAGACGCGAACCCGGTTCCCCAGATTACAAGTCTACCACTCTTAACCACTACACCACACTGGATGAAAAAGAGGTCAGGGCTCCTGCACCTTTAACAGCTGTGTAGAATTTCAGCAGCTGCAGATTGAATTAAGGATTTGCAGAAGCTTTGTCTTCTTCTGCATCAGGCTACCCTAGTGTTGCACTCTTCTAACCACCTCCCATATTTCTCGGAAATATATTCTATGTATTTCTAATTATTCTATGTAGTTCTCTAGTCTATCCTCCGGAAGATCTCTGCTGGGTTAGGGAGAATCTTCTCTGTGTCCAAGGGGAAATTGTTGTGCATGCCTATTCGGAAGCTGAGTTCCATAATAATAATAATAATAATAATAGTAATAATAATAATAATTCCATGAGACTTACTCCCAGACAAGTGTGCATAGGGTTACAGGGTTAGTTCTGCATCGCACCAGTCCAAGATCAACTCATACCAGCTGCTATTAAACAACATTTTATGAAGCCCTTTATGGGAATTCTATGGTGCAATCGCCAATGACTATAAATATTCTGACATGGTTTACGTAAACGTTTTCTGTGGTTGAATTGTAAAACTTAAAAAAAATAAAAATCCAGCAGAGGTTCCAGCTGGTTCACGTGTTAATTGACCTGGCAGGCCCTAGGAAATTTTGCTGCCCAAGACCAAGTTCCCCAGTCCATGCAATGGAATCCAACCAGGCTGGCAGCTGTTATCTTATTTCAACACTGGTGGTTGGGACAACACCCCGCAGTGTGCCTCAGGGCACCAGGCTAGTTCAGGGAGAATGGAAGAATGCCCCACTCTGCCTAATGGCAGGGCTGGCCCTATGAACAGAGCATCAGAGTAGAACTGAGGCCTGACCCATACATGCAGACACATCATTTGATCACCATACACTTTGATGTCCAGCAGGTGGAAATGTGTGAAATGATTTCATTAAAAAAAAAAGGGGGGGGGAGGTTGTACCCAATGGTCATCCTACTCATAGTAGACCTACTGAAGTTAATGAACATGACCAACTCCGATTCGTTCGTTTCAACGGGTATGCTCTGAGCAGCACTATCATTGGATGTGAGGTGATGAGAAAAGAAAGGCAAGTTCTTAACTGTGTGGTGCAGCTTACAGCTTGATGTTGCCTTTGTCCAGTGGTGAAGACCTAGAGGTGCGGCCTAGTGGTTAACAGGACAAAGGGTGTTCACTGGGGCTGATGGGAGTTGTAGTCCCAAGTACCTGGAAGGCACCAGACGGAGGACAGCTGGCCTACAACTATGAACAGAGACTGCCACATGGGGCCTCCACTGTTTGACGTTGCTCCTTTAAACGGCTTGGAGGCAGAGAATGAGAGGGAGAAAAACAGAAAATAGCTTCCATTTGTGTGATCTAGTTATATCTCCCAAAGAGACCACTTTTTTTCAAACCTGGTGATGGGGAAAAGGATAGGAATTCTATTTATAGAGAAGCATTTAATGTGGCAAGAGGTTCTCCCCTCCCCCCCATATTTTTTTCCAGCAAATCGCTCTCTTTCCCTGTAATGTGCAGTGGAGGAGGAATCCTAATTTTCTTGATTTTGGAGGGAGGGTGGAAGGACCAGGCCCTTTCCTTTTGAAACAGACCTTCAGTTGCTCCATGATCAACCTCTGCATCTTGGGAATGAATTGCTGGGATGCTTTGGTTAACTCTTTCACTGCTCTACAAAGCTGAATGGATAGCTTTATTTGAGGATGCAGAAAAAGGAGCTATAGTGGCTTGAAGGCAGCAGATGTAGCATTCACCCAAAAAGGTCTGATGGACAGTGGACCGTCCCCCTGCTGAAAAAGTTTGCTGAATGCTGAGTGACTAACCCATTGCACCATTCCTCAAAGTGGAAATTGTGGGCAGGATTCACCTAACAAGTATGGTTGGCAGAGGCTCTGCACAAGATCTTCTGCTTGCACAATGGGGCTTTTCCCCGCCCCTCACCCTGTGCACCCCCTGAAACTGGCAAACTAAAATGTGTGCACTGGTGGAGCATTCAACATAGCACGACACTCAATTATTTCCTTCACTTCTACCATGGCCGTTAAGTGTATGACGCACCTCTCTTCCAAGTTTTCATTAAAAGCAATTTGTGTTTGCAGCAAGCACAATTTCCTGTGCAAGTGAATTTCCTGGGTTAACAGCACACGACATCAAGAAGTTCTGCTTTTGCTTCCTTTCAACTTGCTTGTTGTTAAAGATTTCAGGAGCTAAACCCAAGGTTATTAGGTTGTTAAGTGTGGGGTTGTTATTATTTTGAGTCAGAACGACTCCCTTCTCTCTTCTTTCTTCTAAACATCTATTATGATTTCCCTCTTTCCAAACAGGGATTTTGGACCCACACTTTCACCCTGGGTCATCATAACCCACTTTGACTCCATGTTGCAAAGAGGTCCTGCAGCTGAGCTCCGGCTGAAATGAAGCACCATCCCAGCCAAACTTTGTCTTGGAATGCCACCAACAGATTCATGCGGCCTTCACAGCAGGGGCTGATCTGCCATGAAGGACTTCAGCAGTTTGGCTGCTGTTTCTTTAGCCTGATTCCAATCTTGTTGGGAAAGGGTGTTAATTTCGGAATCTGCCCTGCCAGTGCTTCAAGGCAAGAGCGTTAACTTGGAGGAGTTGATCCAGAAAGCCCCCTTGAAAAAAGAAGAAAGAAACAATCGCTTTTCTGAAGCGGGGAGGTAAGCATTCACAGTGCTTAATTTGCAAATAAAAAAAAATGGTGGACCTCCCTACTAGCCTGGAAGCCCCTTAATTTCCAAATTGCAAGGCTGTGGAGGAGACTGATGGACCCTGCCACACACCCCAGAGCAGATATATCAGGCTTCCTTGTCCTCTTGCTTTGGCCTGCCTGAATAGCCCTCCCAAAATCCTTGCCTTGCAGCTCACTTGCGGCAATAAGCTTAATTCACTTGCAGGATTCAGCAGAACATCTATTTCTGACCCTCAAGGAACTAGTTTTCTTCCAGACACTTCAAACCTCCGCCCCACAAGTGAGCCTTCAGCTTGTAGGTTTAGGGCAGGAGTCAGCCCAATAATTTTTTCCACCTGAGGCAAGGATGGTGCCGGCCCTTCTCATCCCACATGGAGAAGCTGACCAGCCTGGGAATTCAACCTCATTTCTATACTAGTGACGGGACAGCATTTCCCATCACATCTGAAGGCAGCAGGCTGGCTTTGAGGGCACAGGGCACATACATGACTCCCTCATCTTCCTGAAGGAGCCACCTTGCAACAGAGCCAGCTCTGTTTGGGGCTGGGAGTGAATTTGGCAACATCCCCCATCTCTTAGAGTTTGCTGATGGGCAGTGCGCTTCCTACCCAACTAATGGGGAACCTCCATGATGGCTGCCCTTAATCACTGGTGCAGGAAAGGTACTCTGCACAAACCCAGAGGCATTCTCTTCTTTGCTACTACTTCACACATTCAAAGCTAAGTCCTAGCACACACACACACACACACACACACACACACACACACATATACACTGCAAATTCTGGGGGTTAAGATCTGGGAAGAGCCTCTGTTCAGATGAATAGCTTGAGGTATGCCTGGTGTTATAAGAATTTTAAGATCATATATGATCTTATATGATCATCAGCTTTGAATGTGTGATTTGAATATTTGAATAATATATATATTAGATGTTCATAAATGTACCAAGCAAACACATAAAAATATGTAAACCACATGTCTGAAACCCACAGAAAAGTCCTGAAACCATTTTCTCAAAATGACCTCAAATATTTCTCTGCAAGGTTGAAGGAAATGGGAAATATCCCCGGTGTCTCTGTGCTCACAAATCCTGCCTTCAAGGGCACATTTAAGGTGTGAATAGGGTGAGCCTGTGACCTGGATTCAGGAATTAAGTAGTTATAATAACAAAAGAGTGGCCAAAACCCAGGTATCTGAAGGCAGCCCTGTTTAGGGAAGCTTTTAATGTTTAATAGACTATTGTATTTTAATATTCTGTTGAAAGCCGCCCAGAGTGGCTGGGGAAACCCAGTCAGATGGGTGGGGTATAAATAAATTATTTTTATTATTCTTATTATTATTATTAGTAGTAGTAGTAGTAGTAATATTAGTAGTATTAGTATTATTAGTATTATGCAATCAGGTAAATGGCAGAGACAGGAGATAAACAACACACTCAGGATTCTGCTTTAAACTGCCCCCTGTGATGTATATATGATATATTGGAGGAAGTGGTCCTGAGATACACCCCTTCTGTGATGTATGTATGATGTTTCTGGGGGTGGTCTGGAGTTTGAGAGTGGGCAATTTCAAAGTCTATATAAGGGCGGACACACCTTTGTTCTGGGTCCCTCCTCCCTCCTTGTGTGGGGGGGGGAGCACCTTGTTACAACAGCTTTAATAAAGATGAGGCTTACTAGCTGCTTTGCTTCTCGATATTTTCTGGTTGGCCTCTGCTATTTTCTCCTACCGATAGAGAACCTACAAAAGGACTCTATATGGGCTCTTCGGTACCCGATAAGGCAAGGGTTAGCAAACTTTTTCAGCAGGGGGCCAGTCCACTGTCCCTCAGACCCTGTGGGAGGCCGGACTATATTTTTGGGGTGGGGAATGAACGATGCCCCACAAATAACCCAGAGATGCATTTTAAATAAAAGCACACATTCTACTCATGTAAAAACACCAAGCAGGCCCCACAAATAACCCAGAGGTGCATTTTAAATAAAAAGACACATTATATTCATGATTCCCAGACCGTCCGGGCCCCAGGCCTTAGTTTGCCTACCCATGCCATAAAGGAAAAGGAGCATTTTTTTTCTCATAACCCTGGTATGTGAGGTGGGAAATGAGCATTGCTTCAGCATCTGTGAGATGTCAAAAAGGGTGCTTGGACAGTCGTCCTCGCCACCCATATTGGCCTATTTTCTCCTTTGTGCGCACAAACACACACTCACACGCTACAAAGCTCCCAAATGTGTTCTCAATAAAATAAGTGAGGGGAAAACAAATGAAAATAGCAAATGCCGGGGATGGGTGGACTTGGCTGCTTTCACACTTCAGCATGCGGTCCATCATGACCTCATCCCTGGATCACGACTATGTCCCAATCCGCCACCTTGACTTGGTTACAGCAGGAATTAAGAAGAGGAGAGAGAAAGAAAACAAGCAGAGGGGAGGGAGAGGAAATCAAGGGAAAGCAAGATTGTTAAGGGGAAATAAGGTAAAGTCTAGTTACGTTTTTCTAGCCGAAAAAGAATAAACAGTTCTTTCCCCCTGCAAGGCGTCACTTAACCTGAATCCTCCAGGAAACGCAAGGAGATTAGGGTTTCTATGCTGGTCAAAAGACAGGAGCTACAAAACAAGTTAAAATAACCTCTGATCACACAAAAAATGGAATGGAAGGTTCAGCTGATGCAGATGCACACAGAGTTTCGGCTCTCAGGCCTGACAAAGAGTTCTGTGAAAGGCAAAAGCTTGCATAGACCGTATCAAGCCGATTCAGCAAAGGACATAATTTGATACCTGTGCAAAGTAAGATGGGCTATTTGTTATTCCATTAACATACATTTAGCTCAGATGGTTAGAGCACGGCGCTGATGATGCCAAGGTTGCAGGTTCCTGCAGCTGCATATTCCTGCATTGCAGGGGGTTGGACTAGATCAGGCATAGGCGAAAACTGACCTCCAGATGTTTTGGGACAACTACTTGCATCATCCCTGACCACTAGTCCTGTTAGCTAGGGATGATGGGAGTTGTAGTCCCAAAACATCTGGAGGGCCGAGCTTGCCTATGCCTGGACTAAATGATCCTCAGGGTCCCTTCCAACTCCAGAATTCTGTGATTCTTTGATTCCTCATTATCCCCCCCCCCCGTTCCTTTGTTTTAAAGAGCATTCACCTCTGCCAGGTTAATATCAATACGTGTACACATCGTACAATTAAAGCACATTCCCCGCTCCCAAAGAATCCTGGGTATTGTAGTTTAAGCCTCACAGACAGTGCTATTCTTTTAGAAAAAGAGATGCTGGAACTCACCATGATGTCTTATAATGGCAATAGTGTGCAGCCCACCTGACAGGTGTCGGAACTCAGTTCCTGCGAGTTTGGGCTGGGGGGGGGAAGCTCTGCTCACAGAGCTTCGACTTCCTTGACAAGCTACAGTTCCAAGGATTCTTGAGCATTGGGGATGCACTTAAATGCGCTTTTTAAATGTCTGGATGCGGGTGGCGCTGTGGTCTAAACCACAGAGCCTAGGGCTTGCTGATCAGAAGGTTGGCAGTTTGAATCCCCGTGACGGGGTGAGCTCCTGTTGCTCGGTCCCTGCTCCTGCCAACCTAGCAGTTCGAAAGCACGTCAAAGTGCAAGTAGATAAATAGGTACCGCTCCAGCAGGAAGGTAAATGGCGGTTCCGTGCGCTGCTCTGGTTCGCCAGAAGTGGCTTAGTCATAGTGGCCACATGACCCGGAAGCTGTACGCCGGCTCCCTCGGCCAGTAAAGCAAGATGAGTGCCGCAACCCCAGAGTCGTCCACGACTGGACCTAATGGTCAGGGGTCCCTTTACCTTTATACACAGTGGTACCTCGGGTTACAGACGCTTCAGGTTACAGACTCTGCTAACCCAGAAATAGTACCTCAGGTTAAGAACTTTGCTTCAGGGTGAGAACAGAAATCGCGCAGCGGCGGCGTGGCGACAGCAGGAGTCCCCATTAGCTAAAGTGGTGTCTCAGGTTAAGAACAGTTTCAGGTTAAGAACGGACCTCCGGAACGAATTAAGTTCTTAACCTGAGGTACCACTGTATACAGTATGCACCCCATGTTTATAAGAAGCAATGTCACTGATGAAGGTGAAAGATGAGTGGGAAGCAGGGTTTGCCAAATGGCTCGACCTCCTCTTTGCTCCTGGGGCACCTCAAAAAGCACCCATGGCGGGTCCTTCCTCAAGCCTGAGTTTTCATTTCACTACATTCAAAGGGCTGCGTCATTCCAAAAAGCTACAACGTACAGGAAAGGGAGATTGGGGTAAGTCAGGAGAGAAAAGGAGCGTAGCGTTGAAACGGCAGCAGGACTGCGAGTGCAGCAGAGCAGGACCCAAATTTAGTAATGAAATAAGAGGCCCTGGTTTCCCCCAAAAGAAGCTATAATCAGGGTCTTACCGACGTCACACCCATGATCAAGCACATGACACACACCATACATGACCTACTCCATTCTGGGGAGACACCCATTGGCTTCTCAAAACCACCCATCGCTGAGTTCCACTTGGCAATGCCTGCTTGGGAGATGCTGGCATGCTGCCTCTGCCAATGTCTCAGCAAAGCCTGCTGAATTCTGCTCTGAGCCAACAGCCTTGGGCAGCAGCCAAGCCCTCCTGGGGTGCCGTTGCCTCCAGCATAAATTCCCTCCTCCTGTTTTTCTCCCAGATCTAGCATAAGGAAGGTAGGTTTCGTTTTTTAAACATCAGGGCAAATTTCTTAATCCTAAAAAGAGTCCAGCTACGGTGACAAGCTACCTAGGACATCTATGGAGTTTGTTCCTGGTAGTTTTAAAAAGGCCAGTGGGGAAAAGGTCCACCAGGCATTTATTAGAGATGTTTTAAGTTTAGGACATAATAAAATTATGTGCAGAATGCTATCACTTATTCTGCTTTGGGGACTCCAATTAGAATAGATTAGAGATGTCTTCTAAAACCTGCCAACTTTTAAACTGTCAGCTGTAGTTTGAGTTGCAAGAATGAGCAGAGGATAATCTTCATCTCCATGAACCTGCCCTTCAATTTATGCTATCTTCAGAGGCCCTGCTCTGCATTCCGTCACCCAGGCAGGTGTGATTTGTGCAAACGCGGGACAGGGCCTTTTTGGTGGCAGCCCTAATTGCAGAATTCCCTCCCAAAGGAAGATAAGATGGCCTTTCTTTGCAGGTAGGAGGATAATAACTTTTTTGCCCTGCCAGGCTTTGCATAGGTTGAATTCAGACTAAGTTAGCTGCACAAGGTCACATCCACACCTTACATTTGAAGCACTTAGTTTCTCCAAAGAATCCTGGGAACTGTAATTTGATCAGGGTGCTGGGAATTGTAGCTCTGTGAGGGGTAAACTACAGTACCCCATTCACTGGGGGGATGCCATGTACTTCAATTGCGCTGTACAGGGACAGGGGTGGCACTGTGGTCTAAACCACTGAGCCTCTTGGGCTTGCTGATCAGAAGGTCGGCGGTTCGAATCCCCGTGATGGTAGTAAGCTTCCATTGCTCTGTCCCAGCTCCTGCCAACCTAGCAGTTCGAAAGCACACCAGTGCAAGTAGATAAATAGGGACCACTGCGGTGGGAAGGTAAATGGCGAGGGCAGGGATGTCTTCATCTAATGCATATTACCTGATTTGTTTCCCCAAACTTACAGTGCCCCTCCCCATGCCAGCTAAAGTAAGCTGTCATCTGAGCACGTGCAATGACTGTCTCAAATTTACGCACCTCAGCTTGACCGTGGCTTATGTTTCCAGATTGGATAGAAGCCAGTTTGAGGGGGTATGCATCAAACAGCAATTATTTCTCAATAAACTACAAGATGGCAGCAACACAAGAGAGCATGCTGGAGCACACAGCCATCATCACAAATGCATGGGGTGGACTGGTCATTAGTTCCCAATGAAATCAATGCGACTTGACTAAGTTGTCCCATTGTTTTGAATGGGAACGAAATCCAACAAACACAGTCTGGGTCTCTGGCCCAATGCTTTTCAATGCTGCGGTTTTGCTTATCTTATCATCATCATCATCTTCTTCTTCTTTTTGGTGGGTTGAACATTCTTTTCAAATGTATTGTTGCTTTATTTATTTATTTATTTAATCATGCCTTGGAGCAGGAGTCAGCAAACTTTTTCAGCAGGGGGCCAGTCCACTGTCCCTCACACCTTGTGGGGGGCGGGCGGACTTTTTTTTTGGGGGGGGGGGAATGAACAAATTCCTATGCCCTACAAATAACCCAGAGATGCATTTTAAATAAAAGGACACAGTCTACTCATGTAAAAACATGCTGATTCCCGGACCATCTGCAGGCCGGATTTAGAAGGCGATTGGGCTGGATCCGGCCCCTGGTCCTTAGTTTGCCTACCCATGCCTTGGAGGAACTATTTCCAGAGCCAGAAGGAGTACTGAATTTTCATTTACAAAAAACGCTTTTAAAGGGAGGCCTTGTTTCCATCTTTCCGCTAATTTCTGCTGATCCAGCAGCTCCTGCTCAAGGCACAGCTGCAGAGTCTGGTTGAAAAAGACCGGCAATCCTCTTTCCCCATGTGGAAGACCCATTGCTGTGCCTGAGCTTGAAATCCTAGCTGTGCAGGCATGTCAACACTTCAGGCCCCCCACATCTCTGCGCCCCCACAGCAAGCGATAATGGCTTGAAGTCAGGCTGAGCCTCTCCCTTTCTGCACCAGCTGCTGACAGCTAAGAGCGCACAAACTTCGCAGCTACAATTGCCGGCGCCACACCACTGAAGTGTGCATTGCGGGTCCTCCCCCCACCCCACCCACCGCGCTTCTGTATTGATTTCAACTCATTAGAATTCGCTCCCCTTTCATCTAGACACGGCTCACGCTCTTAATTCCAAAGCGCAGAAGCAATGCGCCATTGATCTGAGCCACTCGGGGGAATTCTCTGCTGCTACAATCAAGCGCCTCCTGAGCTCTCCCATTTCCCAACGCATCACAGAGGTGCACGAACCTTCCCACAAGCGGTCTGAGCAGACGTTTTCCACGTTCCCTCTGCTTGCCAGCTATCAGACCATTACAGGATTCTTAGTTAAACACAGCACATAGTTAAACGGTGGAACTCACTGCCACAGGAGGAAGGGGTGGCTTTGGGTGGCTTTATAAGAGGAGTGGACACATTCATGGAGGTATGAGGCTGTCCGTGGCTACTAGCCACAACGGCTGTGCTATTGACCCAGAAACTCCAGAGGGTGCAGAAGGCTGCAGCGAGGCTCCTCACGGGGTCTCTGCCATGGGAGCATATTCACCCAGTGCTTTTCAAACTGCACTGGCTCCCGGTAGAGTACAGCGTCAGATTTAAGGTGCTGCTTTTGACCTTTAAAGCCCTTCACGGCCTAGGACCCTCGTACCTACGGGACTGCCTCTCCCGGTATGCCCCACGGAGAGCCTCAAGGTCCATAAATAGCAACACCCTAGTGGTCCCGGGCCCTAAGGAAGTTAGATTAGCTTCAACCAGAGCCAGGGCCTTTTCAACTCTGGCTCCGGCCTGGTGGAAGGCTCTGCCTCATGAGACCAGGGCCCTGCAGGATCTGATTTCTTTCCGCAGGGCCTGTAAGACAGAGTTGTTCCGCCTGGCCTTTGGCTTGGAGCCAATTTGATTCCCTCCCTCTCCTCCTCCTCCTCCTCCAGCACCACAATTGTAATATAACCTTCCACACGGGTTGGTTATTTATATATATATATAAATGTAAAGGTTTCCAATGACTCGTCTAAGTTGTCCCTTAGGACCAGAACAGCAGAGAACAAAACAAAGTTTTATATTCAATGAAATGTGACCAAAAATATCCTTGGCGTAGAGTTTTCAGTGGGCTTACATAACAAAGGGAAGTGTTTGGCATAATCGTCTTAGGAAACACTGGATAAAATGTGGCCTTTGCAGTAACTGTACATCAGGGGATATGTATATGAGGGATACAGGCTCAATGCAAATACAGTGGTATCTCGGGTTACAGATGCTTCAGGTTAAAGACTACGCTAACCCAGAAATAGTACCTCAGGTTAAGAACTTTGCTTCAGGGTGAGAACAGAAATCATGCTCTGGTGGCGCAGCAGCAGCAGCGGGAGGCCCCATTAGCTAAAGTGGTACCTCAGGTTAAGAACTGTTTCAGGTTAAGAACAGACCTCCAGAATGAATTAAGTTCTTAACCTGAGGTACCACGGTAGTGCATCTGATATAAAGTACAACGCCTACATTAGGAGTGGCCAAACCCCACTCCAGAGGTCTGGTCCAGTGCCACAAGCAAATTTTTATTACACCTCCTGCCTCAACACCCCACCCATTTTGGTGGTGGCGATATGATAAGAGAAAGCAGGCATAGTGCTGGGCTGAGAAGGGTGGGGGTTAAACTTCCCTTCCCAGCCCATTCATTGCCTGGCTGCAAACCAACCCCGGATCAAACTGGCTGATTGTCTGATGAGTGCTGATTGTCTGATGAGTGGGCAATAACCCTTCTCTTCAGCCGATCTTCATGAATTACCGTATTTTTCGCTCTATAAGACACACCAGACGATAAGACGCACCTAGTTTCTGGTCCTTTTTTGTGGAGAAAATAAATTGCTGAGCATATACTGTATACATAACTGGTTTAATCTTGTACCCATTTACTTTGGAGCAAGCCCTTTAAAGGGAGCACGGCTCTTGCGGGAGGTGGGGGGGAAGGAACGGAGCGCGCCACAACTGGACCTAATGGTCCCTTTACCTTTACATAAAGACATATACAGTGCTTTTTTCCTTTAAAAATGTTTAGGGGTACTCTCATTTTGACTCAAGAAAATTACCATTTTATAGTTCAAATCAGGAAAAATAAATACAGTAAAAGGACAAAGATGTTATGGGGTAGACGTACTCCTGCATCCCCCCAGAAAAAAAGCACTGGACATTTCTATTAAAGGTACCCCAGTCTCTGCTGACCTTCATCCTTAAGGAAACCAAGTCCTGGGAAGGCACTTGGAATAAATGGAGCCTCTTGCTGCTCAAAGATTGGGGTGACATGCAGAAATCTCTTCCTCAGTGCTACCTCTACTCTGCTTTTCTACAAATATTTGCTACGCTTTGTTTAGCGTCACAGCATCAAAACAAGGAACATTCCTGTGCGTATATGCGGGGGGTTCACAACAACGCCTCTTGTGAGTGACAAAATACGTTTCCTTTTTTCCTGGCTGTTGTGGTGCCACCTCCGTCTGTCGAGCAATTTTGGGGGAACAGAGAGAGGCGGAAGAGACAGAACTGCTTACTCAGGTAGTGGGGGAGAAAACTAGTTAAGAGTGGGTTTCTGGTCTGCCTTTTGGGCAAAAAAAAAAAGGAGGGACCCAGAGGCAACTCACAAAGCTTAACGCAAATACAAAACGCAAGCAATAAAATGCAACTTCAATTCTTGTAAGGCAGCGAACTCCCAACATCTTTAAAACACACACACAAAATAAAATAAAAGTCCAAGTGACACCACACTTTGGTTCAGAATTGACCTGGGGGGCTGCCAGTGGCTGATCCCTGCCCTATCTGATCCAAACATGTTTTTCAGAAAGTAAACAAGGCTTACTCGAGTCAGAAAACTTTCTGCCCAACTGACACATCCTTAGCTTGCGTGCTGTTCCCTACATGTGACACTCACCACAATCTGTGTTTCATTGTCCGTCAAAGTGTCAATAGCCAGGCTCCCGCCAATTAAATCTTCGCTGATCCGAGTCCTCGTGTCTCTTGGCGAGGTTTCCCGCGTCTTTCTCTCCCAGGAATGAGGTTCTATCCCAACCGCGGAGACATCTCTCTGGGTCCAAGCTGTAGAGAGAGGAAGAAAAGCGAAGAATGATTTCTTAGCGTACGAGGAAGGCTCTGAGAAGCTAAGGCCACATTCCACACCAGCCTTGCTTCCCGTGCTCTGTGAGTGCTTCTGCCTATCTGAATTGTGCCCTTAAGAAGAAGAAGAAGAAGAAGAAGAAGAGTTTGGATTTGATATCCCGCTTTATCACTATCCGAAGGAGTCTCAAAGCGGCTAACATTCTCCTTTCCCTTCCTCCCCCACAACAAACACTCTGTGAGGTAAGTGGGGCTGAGAGACTTAAGAGAAGTGTGACTGGCCCAAAGTCACCCAGTAGCTGCATGTGGAAGAGCGGAGACGCGAACCCGGTTCACCAGATTACGAGACTACCGCTCTTAACCACTACACCACACTGGCTCCCTTAAACTCTGATACTGACTCTCGGTTGCCTGGATGGAAAACAGAGAGAGGGATGTGAGGCTGTCTGCAGGAATGACCCTGCTACAAACCTTCCTTCCCTGCCAGCCAAACCTGGGTGCATTAAATGCCCTTCGTTGTCAAAGGAGCCTCACTGATCCACAAGAGATTTACAGGGGCAGCTGCCTATTCCATTCCCCAAAAAAGCTGCTGCTTTTAGGTCTTCCTTTGTGCACGGCTTTGTGGGGCGGTTTGTTGCAGAGATATAATTCCTTCTGTTTCCAAACTTCTGAGGAGAGTGCTGGGCCTTATGTAGCCTAAACAGGACCACCAGTAGGCAAGAGGGAGGTATCAGGAGGGGAGATTCCAAGGCTTGCAGAAGTACAAAGCTGCCCAATGAGGACTGAGCATGCTCAGTGAGCATGGAATGCCAGGGTGCTTCCAAGCTGTCATTTCAGTGGGATTTAATCACATACCGGGAAATCCAGGTTGTGCAATTGCAGTTGCATCGGGAGGTCCAGCACAACACACTTGCTTCCCCCAAAGTTATGACTTTTTTGCAAAAATGAAAGTGGTGGAGAAATGCACCGGAAAGTGTGGGACGACACTTGCTTTGACACAACGTCGTCTAACCTCCCTGCAAAGAAATCAGAGCGAATGCATAATAAAGTGGTGCTGTGGGTTAAACCACAGAGCCTAGGACTTGCCGATCAGAAGGTCAGTGGTTCAAATCCCCACGACGGGGTGAGCTCCCATTGCTCGGTCCCTGCTCCTGCCAACCTAGCAGTTTGAAAGCATGTCAAAGTGCAAGTAGATAAATAGGTACCGCTCCTGCGGGAAGGTAAACGGCATTTCCGTGCGCTGCTCTGGTTCACCAGAAGTGGCTTAGTCATGCTGGCCACATGACCCGGAAGCTGTACGCCGGCTCCCTCGGCCGATAAAGCGAAATGAGCGCCGCAACCCCAGAGTTGGCCACGACTGGACCTAATGGTCAGGGGTCCCTTTACCTTTACCTCCATGGAAACGAACCGGGGTGAACACGCAATAAACAAGTCGTCTGGAAGCACGCTGGCTGTTTTGGTAGAGGAGAGGAGAAGGAAAACTGGGTAGAAGGAGGATTGGCATGTGAAATTGTTAAGGAGGCTAGGGGCATTCCTAGGGGTTGGCCAGGATGGTACCCTGCCAATGGTGCAGGCCGGGGTGGTGGTGCAAAAATCATGCCTCTCCACTCTGGCTCGGCTCCTCTGTCAAGGGCTCAAGGGACATGGGGGGGCCGAGAAGGCTCCTTGCCAAGGGAACCCAGGTATGCCTCTGGTGATGACCCATTGGAACAGGGAACAGAAGCACTTGGCACTGCAACATTATGTTGCAGGTCTCTCTCATCCTGTTCTGTTCCTTTCCTAAAGCCAGGGATTGGGATTAGTTCATTGATTCTCGTGTGCAGCAACAGCAGACCGGATGCCAAGATTTCAGATGTTCAGAACATTTGATGCTGGGATGGGTGGAGGAGAGCTGAAAATGAAGCAAGGGAGCCCAAGTCCATAACCTTTGGAAATTACTGGCATAGTCAGTCCCTGACCCCTGGCATATGGATTTGCAGCAAAGGCATGTATTTGCCACACACACACACACACACACACACACACACACAAACACACCAACCTCTTCCGGGCCCTTTATAAAATACTTTTGGCGCCTGTCAAAGGGGTTTTGTCTCTCTCGTGCGTCACTGGGGCGCCTTAGGCAGCTCCAACTTGGCCTCAGTCACCCATCTGTAAAACGGGAATAGCACTAACCCACACCAGAAGGTTACTAAAAGGGACAAACCTAATCAGGCCTATGCAGTACTTTGCAAATTAAAAAACGTTATATAAATGGCAATTAGTAGTTGCAAAGCATCTTGTTTATGAAATGCGCTGTATAGATGATTCACGGTATAATAATAGCTTACAAAATGAAGGTTTTTCTTGGCACAGGATTTTGAAGGCTTTCATTGGTCTGCAATAAATACACTCAGTGATAACTTTAAAACTCAGTTTTTGGTGCCAGGGGTTATTCCTAGAACATGCAAAACAGCCAGACAGGCAACAGTGCCTCTGAGAAAGTACAGATGGCCTTTCTCACTCCCACCCCATATACTTCCAACAAGCAGATTGTCTGAAGGTACATTTTGAGTTAAGAACGTAAGAAGATGTCTCTTGAGAAGGCCGCAAGCGGGGCAATGAGTTGCCTCTCCTGAGTTGAGCATCTCTCCTTACGGTACTAAAACTCTGGCTAAAACAAGAGATAGGGCAATAACCAGCCCACATGTATTCAGCCATTACCAGATACTAAACATTCTAAATGAAACTGGTGTACAAGCAATTCATCCTACTCTTCCAAGCAAATAAGGGCCCATTCCAAGGCATGAAGTTCTGGTTTGCCACCTTTTGAAATAAGAAAAGTCACATTACGATCTAAAGAGCACCCTCTCACTATTTCTAGCACACCACTTGACACTAGAATGACAGTGAGATAATAATCACAGTGATTAGTGTGTCAGTGACCAGGATTTGAACCTCCTTTTTGTATTATCCTTTTTAAAATTAAATTTCCAAAATTTCACGACTTCAAATCGAATAATTACATTGTTTCATAAACTGACTTCCTGCTCACAGTTCCACAGTGTGTTTTCGTTCAAACCCTTTTCTACTGCGTTATATATCAAACTCTTCTCTATTACAGAAATCCCTCTAATACAGTTACTTAATAGTTTTTCTACGGCTGCTCCATCTCGAATCCGGCCCGCAATTTCATTTGACTATAATACTTTCTCATATAGTCCATGAAAGGCAGGATTTTGAATCTCCATTGAGCCACAAAACATAGGTCACTTCTAGACTGCCTTTTCAGGTAGGATTCAACCATAACACCATCCAATGTGTGTTGCACAATTATAGCTGATTTCACAATTACAGTGGTACCTTGGTTTAAGAACAGCTTGGTTTATGAACAACTTGGATTAAGAACGCTGCAAACCTGGAAGTAGGTGTTTTGGTTTGCGAACTTTGCCTTGGAAGCAGAACATGTTCTGCTTCCTGTTGAGTGCATTCCATCTGTAAATTGAGTCCCCTGCTGCTAAGGGAAAGCACACCTTGGTTTAAGAACGCTTTGGTTTAAGAACGGACTTCCAGAATGGATTAAGTTCGTAAACCAAGGTACCACTGTATAACAATCCCCAAAAGGTCAGATTTTTATTTTTATTTTGCAATAGGGAAAGTGACAGAAAAATGCCCTGGAAAGAATGGGCTAGCACCTGCTCTGGCCCAACGTCATCTAACCTCCTGGCAAACAAATCACCACAAATGCTGAGTAAACACCACGGTTGCCTGGAAGCACCTTGATTGAATGACCTTTAGTTCGTCATACACTCTCAGCCTAGCCTACCTCAAGGGGTTGTTGTGATAATAAGATTGTAGCGCACGGTGAGGGGTCCATGTAAGCTATTAAGTTGTGGGTGAACATATCAGACGACACAGCGATTCTTCAAATAGCTCTTGTTTACTCACAGGCCAGAACAGAACTAAAGTGAAGGGTTCAGCCAGCCTGCTTATATAGAGCTCCACTAGAACACAACACACACACACACAAAAAGTGGAGACATCACCTTGCCAACAAAGGTCCGTATAGTAAAAGCTATGGTTTTCCCAGTAGTGATGTATGGAAGTGAGAGCTGGACCATAAAGAAGGCTGATCGCCGAAGAATTGATGCTTTTGAATTATGGTGCTGGAGGAGACTCTTGAGAGTCCCATGGACTGCAAGAAGATCAAACCTGATCCATTCTTAAGGAAAGCAGCCCTGAGTGCTCACTGGAAGGACAGATCGTGAAGCTGAGGCTCCAATACTTTGGCCACCTCATGAGAAGAGAAGACTCCCTGGAAAAGACCCTGATGTTGGGAAAGATGGTGGGCACAAGGAGAAGGGGACGACAGAGGACGAGATGGCTGGATAGTGTTCTCGAAGCTACCAGCATGTGTTTGACCAAACTGCAGGAGGCAGTGGAAGACAGGCGTGCCTGGCGTGCTCTGGTCCATGGGGTCACGAAGAGTCGGACATGACTAAACGACTAAACAACAACAACAAGAACACAACAGTAACCATTTTCTGTAACTATCCAATCACTGACCGTCACTTTTAATCCCTTATTTGCATATGTGGACCTGAGTGAAAACTTACTACAGTATCCCCCTGCTGGCCCAGGGTGAGAACTTCAGTACATAGCATAAGCTACCCTTAAATTCCTTGGAGAACGGTTGGGATCGAAAGATGCCTTCAGTAAACACACTGTGAGCTCGCTTTTAAAACTTCATGCATGCGCGTCACCTGTTCAAATCCTTGTAACAGAGAGGCTTCTTCCGTGGCGTGCCAATTTAAATCAAGGCGTTGGTCACCATATCTGCCCACTAGAAATAAGGAACCAATGTCACACAGCAGACACGTTATTCTGGTCTTCCTCTCCGGAACCGCTCCTTCTTATGAGGGCTGCCGTGGCATATATTCATCCTAGCCCTGCTTCCTTCCACAAAGCTGCATTTAGGCTGTGGCTTCCAGGAGGGGCCTGGGAATCCAGATGTTTTGCACTGATGCAAAGAGTGGTATGGCGATGGAAACAGGCCCTGGACACTTGCTTTTGGCAAGGGGTGGTGGGGTGGGAGGAAAAATAGGCCGCCGTAATGGAAAGGAAACCTTTTCTTTTTCTTTTTTGTAGATCAGACTTTCAGAGGCCTAGCTGGTTTTAAAAAGCATAGAGCCCATGAATTGATCCTGGATTATACTGGGCCATCAAATGTTGAGAAGGCTGGAAGCGTCAGCTTTTGATTTCTAAAACGTGAAATGAATATTATAGTCACGTATAGATTGTGTTCCATGTCCTGTCTGATGTGAAGCAACGGTTGGAAGAGCTGGGTATGTTTAGCCTGGATAAGACTCAGACTGAGAGGAGATGTGATAACCATCTTCAAATACCTAAAAGGGCTGCCACATGGAGGATGGGAGCAAGCTTGTTTTCTCCTGCTCCAAAGGCAAGGACACGAACCGACGGCTTCAAGTTGCAAGAAAGTGGATTGTGCCTAAACACCTGGAAGAACTTTCTGACAGTAAGAGCTGTTCATCGGTGGGACGGTCTCCCTCAGAAGGTTGTAGACTCTCCTTCTGTTATGTACTGAGTTGAATAGGATCCAAAAGGCAGCAGTCTAATTGGTCCTAGAACAATAGGGTCCAGATTGCAGCAGTCTGATTGGTCCACAGGAGCCACCCAATCCAGCTCCAGGTGGAAGTGAATTCGCAACCTGATTGGCCTACAGGTGAATCCCAGAATTAGCCAATCACATGGGGCCCATTGTGTAAATAATGTATATAAAGCAAACATTCTGGGGGAACTTCCATTCCTCCTCACCACTATGAGCTGAATAAAGAGCATGAAATCCACGCTCGACTCCGAGTATATTTCACCTTCTTTGGAGGTTTTTAAGCAGAGGTTGGGTGGCCCTTTTTCATGGACGCTTTAGCTGAGATTCCTGCATTGCGGAGGGTTGGACTAGAAGACCCTTGTAACTCTACAATTCTAGGATTATAAGTGTGCAAGCCTGAGCCTGTGCATACACTATACCGTGGACCCTCCGGATACAAATTAAATTCATTCCGGGGGCATGTCTGCAACCCGAAAAGTCCGTAGGCAGAGGCGCCGCTTCTGTGCATGCTGCAAAACCCGGAAGTATACACTTCTGGGTTTGCCGTGTTCGTAACCTGAAAGTTACGTATCCAGAGAGGTACATAACTAGAGGCTCCACTGTACCTTTGCAGCACTTTCAAAGGACATTCTTTCCCTTAAAGAATTCTGGGCGCTGTAGTTTACCCCTTACCGAGTTAGCAACCCTCAACAAACTACAGTGCCCATAATTCTTTGAGGGAAAGAATGTGCTTTAACGATATAGTGTGTATACAGCCTCAGAGTAAAAGAGTAGAATTTTATTTTATTTTTTAGAAAGAGTTATTGTAACTGGGTAACCTGTGCTCTGGTCCATGGGGTCACGAAGAGTCGGACACGACTAAACGACTAAACAACAACAACAACATTGTAACTGGGTGGGAAATTGTTTGACCTCACCGGAGCATCTTGTGCCACACCAGAACTGTCCTCTCCAGCTCAAGAAGAGCTTTGTATCATTCAAAACCTTGCTTCTGCCATTTTGAACATCAGCATAATATCATTTCCTATTTATTGATTATATTTATGCCCTGTCCTACCTCCAAGGAGCTCGCCGCAACAGACACGATTCTCCACCCCTCACAAAATCACTGCGTACACAACCATATATATTTTTACTCATGGCACCGCATTCCTGCAGAATATCACAGAGCGGCAAACGGCAAGATGAGAAAACAGCAACAAAATATTCTGTTTTCCTTGTAACATCTCATGAAAGAAATGCATGATGCAACAGAAGTGACATCATTTGCATTCAGAATTTTGCCACCCCTGCCTCACTTCATTGGCTGCTGTTTGAGGGGGGCAGAATTCTGGGTATGATGATGTCACAACCTTTCTTTCGTTTCCCAATCAAGCCTAGAAGGCCATTTGGCTTAGTCAGTCTCTATGGTTTGGCTGCTTTCCCTCTCATTTCCTGGCGTGAAAATATTAAGCTGAGACAGACTTTATGAAACAGGCAAACGCTGAAAGGACCACGAGACTCATTCCTGCTGGCCACGCATTGCTGACTTTTCCTGTTTACACGGTTTTCCAGCTGAAATTGGGCTGCAGGCAAAGGATCTGGGTGAACTTGGGATGTTTTAAAGTGACGCGGCATGCCAAGTTGTTTTTGACTCAGATAACCTTTGCTGTCTATGAAAAGATGTTCTGGCCTTGTTGACTTGCTGACAGATGTACTAAAATTGTTCAGGTGCTTTCCAGGAACAAGGGGCCCTGAAATTTCGCATACACCTGGACGGAGAAACTCTGATTACAGAAGGATGTGAAGATGAGATGCTTTTGCAGAGCTCCCTCAAAAGTCCTGTTCATTCATTGCTCCTTAGGTGATGAACAATTATATGATAGTCGTCCCCCTAGTTACATTTATTTAGTCTGAGTCTCTGCCTATCAGCAATACAGCTCTGTGGTCAGTTGACCCTAAGCTTACTAACCAGCAAGAATATGCCTTGTTGGATTTGACTGCAATATGACACACAGAAGCTGAAAACAGACTCACTAACCCATCTGCAGCCGAAAAATGTAGTTTTTTTCTCAATCCGGAATCATTAGATCCTGCCAGCGACAATGCTGGGTGTGGTTAATTAATATGCATTTGAAAGTCCGCCCCTTGATTAGGTTATCCACACCTTTTCCTCTCCCTAGGTGAACAAAGGAGAAAGTGGTGTTTTCAAATGGACACACTGCAGGTTAATGTGGTAATCCACCTACAATGGACTTTTATTTTCAGATTGAAACCAGTTTCTCCAGAAGCACTTTTCAGGGGCAAAAAAATGCAATAGATTTATTATTATTATTATTATTATTATTATTATTATTATTATTATTATTTCTATACTGCCCTTCATCCGAGGACCACAGGGCGGTTCACAGCGTAAAAACACAAAAATACATCACACCTAGATTGCATGTGGACCACGTAGGAAAAAACAAGTGCTCAGCATCCATTGATTGTAGGATAAGATGGCATGTATACACAATGGCTGAAGCTGACTAGACTGGCAGCTGTATCTTGCTTCGTGACTGGCAGTGGAATAGCAGCATCATGCACTGAACCTCAGGCTGAGAGCACACCATACCTTTAAAGTGCCTTCAAAGGATATCACCCAGCCCCAAGAGAATCCTGGGAGCTGCAGTTTGTTAAGGGAGCTGAGAATTGTAGCTCTGTGAGGGGGTAAATTACAGCTCGCAGGATCCTTTGGGAGGGGGCTGCTTTGAGTGTGCTTGCAGTGTGTATAAAAGGGACGTGTGTGGCGCTGTGGTCTAAACCACTGAGCCTCTTGGGCTTGCAAATCGGAAGGTCAGCGGTTCGAATCTGCGTGACAGGGTGAGTTCCATTTGCTCTGTCTCAGCTCCTGCCAACATAGCAGTTCGAAAGCACACCAGTGCAAGTAGATAAATAGGTACCGCTGTGGGGGGAAGGTAATCAGCGTTTCCGTGCGCTCTGGTTTCCGTCCCGTTGCGCCAGAAGCAGTTTAGTCATGCTGGCCACATGACTCGGAAAGCTGTCTGTGGACAAACACTGGCTCCCTCAGCCTGAAAGCAAGATGGGTGCTGCAACCCCGTCGCCTTTGACTGGACTTAACCGTCCAGGGGTCTTTTACCTTTACTGTCAGGGAGAAGGGGCACAGGGAACAGAAGATGCTAGGGAGAGCCTCAACACCGAGCCTGAGCAAAGGGGATGGGAGGCAAGTCCCCCTTTGCCAGCACCCACGTTGCACAGTAGGTTTGCGTACAGAGAGAGGAGGAGAAGGATGGGGGTCACACGACTGTTATGCTGGGGAAGGTATACGGACCGCCAACTCCCAGATTCTGCTAGCGACTGAGCAGACATGGACTTGTGACACTCTGTACTGTAAGATAGTTTGTACAGATAATAAAGCCTGGAAAAGACAGGTTGGAGTCTTGCCTGTTTGCTCTCGAGCAACCACACCATCACCTGACATTTACCTTTTACCTTGCAGTGTGTATGCAGCCTCGGTGAAGCCTAGTGGATACCTTCTTTCAGGACATCTTACTAGAAACCACCCAAAATGTGGATGAGTGATGGTATACCGAGAAGAGGATTAAACAGTGCAAGTTGAAACAACAGGAAGTCAGTAGGAATCAGGTTGACCAGGTTTGCAGCCCTTGCAGAGGATGGGGGCTTGTGGAGGCCTCTTCCTCCTTAAGACTATGTGAGTTCCCTCTCCCTGAATTCTCAGCTTTCATATCAAGGCAGTGAGTCTCCACGCTTTTAATTTACGGGGTCATAAAGAAAAGCCCACAGACAATATTCTCCTCAATTGCTCACTAAGAAGTGATAGAATTAAATAACAGTAAAACACATCTTTCTGTTTGTTGTTCTGGCTGCTCTGCATTGATTTCCATCCCTGTTAGATCCTCGCACCACAAACTCTTTGGCTACAGGCCCGAGGCTGCCACTCAAAGAAATGAATGTGTGACTGAACCACAAGGCATCAGAAGGGGAAAAAAATGACAAAGAAATTGTCTTCCTAGCTATATCTAGCTTTGTCTTGAACCCAGCAAGGTCCATTTCTCCGACAGCTGTCTCATGGGGCAGGCTCTGACACTTCTAATAGCTGGAAATCTTAAAAATAAAGGCAGAGCTAGAAGGATGATTCATCTGGTTTGCCTATTTCAGAGCGAAGATGCAAGTAGGGGATGTCATCCATGAGCTGTTCCGAAGTTTCCATGGGTATGAACGCATTGCTGCTTTCTCCCGTATGTTCCCACGGCTAGCTTTTGAAGCAGCATACACACACCATTAGCCCCAATCCTGTAATTTCTTGAGAAATGTGACTGTTTGGTGTGGGTTTTCCCCCTCAAACCAGCTTCAACAGGCATAGAAAACTTAAGCTGTGTTCAGTTCGTATTTAAGCCTTTGTGCACATATGCACAGAAGGCAGCTTCGTGAATATGAGTTCAGGATGGAATTGCAGGGACAGGGAAATAATCCAAGTTATGTGCGTCAGGTGAAAACATCTCCTGCTCCTCTCTGTACAACAATACTGTGCAAATGCGACTTGAAATGCAGGCGGGGACAACCTCACTGTGTTTTAAGCCCCTAATGCGAACATATCCTAAAAGTTATACAGTAGAACCATGGAACTGTAGAATTGGAAGGGACCCCAATCCCCAGCAAATAATCTAAAGAATTCCTAGCAAGTCAGGCACAAATTCCCTAGATCAGTGGTTTTCAACCAGTGTGCCGTGGCACCCTGGGGTGCCTTGAATGATGGTCAGAGGTGCCATGGGCAACACTGGCTCCTGCCCCTCTTTCCTTCCCTCCCTCTTCTGATGCCCTCTCGCATCTCTGCCTCCCAAAAGCTTGCACAGCTGTTTGATGCATCAGCCCTGGCTACAAGCTCCGCAGGCAAGTTGTGCCTCTGGAGCTGGCCAGGGGGTGCTGGTTGCCAGAAGCTGAAGCAAGCAGGTGAGGGAGCCCAGCCAGCCAGTCCACTAGCCTTTGCTGTTGGGGGTGGACAGACAAGTCCCAGGCCCCTGTGGGGCAGTGTGAGGAAGCACCTGTCTTTGGGGTGGGCATCTCAGAGACAGGGGTGGCTGCCTGGGAAACTCCCAAGGAGAGGAGAGGGGAGAGGAGGCTGAGGGAACACTCCACAAGGGAGGGTGATCGAGAAAGGGTGAGAGGCTGCCCACTCTGCAGGCAAGGGTTGACATAACTGGGCTCCTGGTGTGGTCTAAACCCCCCTTTAAATCCATATCAATGAAAAGAAAAGAACTCACTCTGAAACTCACCTACAGGTGGTACCTAACACCAAGAAAAGTAGGGCTAATACGCCCAGAAACCTCACCAAAATGCTGGAGAGGGTGCACCTCCACAGGCACATACCTCCACATGTGGTGGGGGTGCCCCAAAATCCAACTATTCTGGACAACAACCATACGAGAAATAAGTAAAATAACCAAGCAAGTATTAGAAATCACCCCAGAATTGGCCTTACTAAACATCTTCCAAGCCCACTTACAGCACAAAGAACTCATAACCCACCTACTTTCAGCAGCCAGAAGCATCATAGCCAGACACTGGAGAGACCTGTCAGGAGTAAGCATGGACCAATGGTACCAAATAGTATGGGAAACAGCCCTACTAGAAAAATTAACCAATAAACTGAAACTGACATAGGGACAAATAGAAAAAGATACCTTCCCCCCGGTATGGCTCTCCTTTATCACATACACATCCCAACAAGACATCGACAAAAATCCACCAACAACATACAAATCAATATGGCTAACCTGATCCAAAACACCCACCCACCCCACTCACACATGAAAACAAAGACCACCACAGCCAACCACAAATGAACAGCCACACCCTAGGCCAACCCCAACCTCTCTCACCACCAAAGGAACACAAGTGAACAGCAAAGAACCTGCACAAGCAACGCTGACACCAAATCCTACATATAGTAAGTAAAATAGAAACATTGCCACCCGACCGAAACCCCACCCATCTTCCCCCCACTCCACCTCTTTCCCCCTTTTCTTCTTAATGTTTCAACAAATGAAACTGATTTGTAAAAATGTTACTGGGGGGGGGGGAAATACGAGAGAGAGACATTGAACACACTTTTGTAAATCAAGAAAATATTTAATAAAAACAAACAAACAAACAACTGGGCTCTTGAGCCCCACAGGGGTGCCGCAGAAAGAATGTAGTTGGTCAAGGCAGCCATGGACTCAAAAAAGTTGAAAATCTCTGCCCTAGAGGAAGGCAGGCCTAGAAAATAAAGTGACAGTGTGTGATCTGCTGTCCCCTAAAGCTGTGATCTCTAAATGAAGGGTGGCATATAAATTTAATAAAAAATAGTAATAAGCTCCCAGCTAAAACTGTTCCACTGTATCATCAATTGTGTCTGTCGCTCATTCACAGGAAAATGACGTTTCTCTCACACAGTCCTTGGATGGTGAGTCTGTTCTCAGTTAAAGGCAACTCTCCTAATCTAAACTGGTTATTAATTCACTAACCGCAACAGAACACCTAGCAGAGATACAAATTCAGGGGCAAGGCTATGCAATTAACCCAGATGCCAGTGCTATTTCAGGAGCTAATAACATCCTCCATACAATCAGGGTCTCATTCGCCCTTTCATCCCAAAACAGGAAAAATGGCATCACCTGCCAACAGTGCCTTTCTGCTGTCTATGTCGGACAAACAGGTCTGTCTCTGTGCAAATAAAGAAATAAATAGACACAGATCTTTCATTTTCAAGGGTAACTTTCATATAGGAGGGCATTTCAGCATCTCAGGACATCCTGCTGCTGACCTCAAAGTCCTCATTCTTCAACCCAAGAAGCACATCAGCAAATTTGATTAGACTCAGTCCGAACCTAATCAGAACTGTGGGCTTCTTTCCTTCTACTCGTGTGAAACCAGTATAACAAAGCATAGCTAAATTACAATGGCTTCTGTGAATTGTTCAATCTGTTCTTACATTATATCAGACCTTCCCAGCGTCACTAGTTTCCAGGGACAGTCCCAGATTTACAGAACCTGTCCCAGTTTCTGATCTGATCCTGGAATGTCATGCTTTTCCTTAAGATGTCCCTATTTTTATTGGAGAAATGTTGAATGGTTTGGAGTTATGCGACACCCCCCCCCCCCCAGCCAAGGAGATAAATAACTATACAACTTTTAGGAGACATCTGAAGGCAGCCCTGCATAGGGAAGTTTTTAAATGTTTAATGTTTAATTATGTTTTTATATATGTTGGAAGCTGCCCAGACTGGCTGGGGCAAACCAGTCAGAGGGGCAGGGTATAACAACAACAACAGCAGCAGCAACAACAACAACAGCAACATCCTATTTTCATCGGAGAAATGTTGGGAGGGCATGTTATATATATCTTGGTTCTGCATATGGCAAGTCACAAATTTCCCCTTGCATTTCACTGCCTTTTGGCCCTACTGCTCATACACACTGACGGAGAACAGCGCTTTATGCATCAGATCAAGTGGACTCTAGTCCTCAAAACAGTATGTCACAATGAATCTTAAAGCTGCCACAAGACTCTCTTTTTTTGGAGGGCTGTGTGTTCAAAAATGTGTGTATCATTTCTCCAAATCGTACCTTGTGAATGCAACATGGGATGTCTACAACAGCTTTCCACTCTATGACAGCTCAGTTCAATACATCCATAGGAGCTCCCACAATTTGAGGACATAAGGAAAGCCTCCCTGGATCAGTCCAAGAGCCCATGCAGCCTCACATCCTGTTTCCAATAGTGATCACTCAGATGTCTCTGCAAAGCAGAGCTTGGAGGCAATTTCCCACTGCTACGGGTTGCCCTTCACTCCCCTAATCCTGTGGCACAATGGGTTAGTGCGCCTGGCTGCTAACCAGAAGGTTGGTGGTTCAAGCCCACCCAGGGACAGCTGTGGGGAGCATTCCTGCACTGCAGGGTTCAGCCTTTCTCAACCTGTGGGTCCCCAGATGTTGTTGAACTACAACTCCCATCACCCCTAGCTAGCAAGGCCAGAGCTCAGGGATAATGGGAGTTGTAGTCCAACAACATCTGGGGACCCACAGGTTGAGAACCACTGGACTGGATGGTGCTTAGGGGCCCTTCCAACTTGATGAGTCTATGAGTCTAACACCCATCCAGCTGCCTCTGAACCTTGAGGGTCCCATTTAGTTATCCTGCACTTGCATCCCTTTTGTGCTCTTGGAGCAGTTCACAATTAAAGCACAAAAACAGCCATTAAAAAAACGCCCAAACTACAGATACAACCAGCAGGTGAAACAGTAAGGACTATAAATCCAATGATAGACCTGCCTTCCACAACCCCATTTTAAAGCCATCTACACCTCTTGGCTGTCACAGTACATCTCGAGGCAGTGAATTCACACTTGTTGTCACCATGTGCACAGTGCAAACCTGTTTACTGCCACACACGCACACAGGAGGAAACAGATGCACCATCTCTGTTGCTGCACCGACATGCCTGACTCCTGCTTTCATGCACAGAGGAACTGGTCCCCATTCACACCTGCTGAAAAGTGCCCAAGTAGACACTTCTGCACTTTTGCTTCCGTACACATGCAAAAGCAGCGAGGAAACCGGTGCATTTTCCTCAGGGCAGCCAGCACAGCTCTTGAATGTGAGGCCAGCAACTTTGCCTTTAGCCCAAACTGTGGTCTTAATGAACCACTCATCTGAGTGATTCATTACAAGCGCTGGCTGCCATTTCTCACCACCCACAACGAATTTAGCTGGGCAGTTTTGTAACATCGATCTGAAATGCCACATAGATGGGAGTTGGTGGTTGCCATCGTTGTCACACACAACGGCACCTGGTTATTTGCATAAACTCACTAGGCTGACAGAAGTACACAAACATACATATAACGGGATCACTGACACACACACACACACACACACACACACACACACATGGACTTTTACTATATTCTGCTATACATACAAGTGCAAGACATCCTGGCAAATGTCAGGATAGAAGAACATATACTTAAAAAGAAGTGTCCCTACAATGCTTTTTATCATTGAATCAGGTGGGCTGCCTGCCTTTTAAAAATAATATATTGTATGTGTCTTAAATCTCTGCATGGATCTGATATATATTCTGCTCCAGTGGAGATGGGCTTGTCATTTAAGCCCCCAGCCAATCAGTGTAGTGCACAGCCAGTCTCTATCCCAAATACACAAAACCACTTTCTTCCAATGTGTATCCTGGGGCAAAGGCTGTAAGCAGGAGCACCATATGCCTAGGGGTGAGTCTGTGCAGCAGCTCTGCAGATGAAACATTTGGAAGCAACCTCCCTGCACATGCTTGTTCAAAAGGGTGATTCACACGGCGAAGCCAATCCCAGTGGGCTCCTGCTGCGGGTTTAAGCACGGCATACTGGATTTCCAACGCATGTGGACAGCGCAACCCAAAACAACCTGAAGAAAAGGAAACCTTTACAAAATTGGCTGAACCTGGCAAACCACGTCAAACTGTTTACAAAACCGGTGCAAAATTGCCAGAAGCACACGGGCAATTTGATGTGCACAGCGCGACGCAGGAACATTGCAAAGCCGTGCGCACAAGAATTGTGCAGAATTGTGGTGCACAGCCGCGACCAAGTGCACACACAGGCACCAGCACACCTGCTCACACTCATTGCTGCGAGCACTACCATCTGAATGCACACGCATGTGTTTTTCCAGGGATAGAGGACTTTCATATACTGATAATATGCCTGTCTGGCATGCACTTACTCTAAACCCTTTCTGCTCGCAGGTCCAAATAATTTTGGTACACTTGTGCACGTACTGAATCATGTACTGCCTCACCCCTATGCCCACCCAGCACTTCCACATCCATCATGCTCGTAAATGTTAACAGGCTTGCACATCACCTTATCACATTTGATCCTGATTTCGCACACCTGTCTACGCACCTTCACAGATCTGCTCCCTGTTCACCATTGCCTCCCCTTGCACGCTCACAACACCTCCTCTCAAGCTGCCTGAGCATGCCCGGATCCCTGTTCCACTCACAGCTACACACCCCCACACTTGCTCTCTGCCATACACATCCCTGGCATTCACCCCACTTCTGTCCACACTTTGCACACAGTGTCACACAAGGGTGGCAGTGTCCCCGGAAGGTGTGGGTGGTACCTGCTGCTCGCCTCTCCTTTGCTGACCCCACAGCCTCCTCCTGCAGCGGCCAGAGCAGGACGAGGGCTCCCCACAAAATCTTCAGCGATTCAGGGTGCATCCCTGTGACCCTCCAAAGCGCCACCTTTTCTTGGCAACAACTTTCCGCTCTGCCTCCCCAAGCAGTTTCTCCCCTCGGCTCCCGGGCTCCCTCTCTCTCAGCAGTTGCCACCTCCAGGCTCGTGGCGAGGAATGAGCAGATCCCGCAAGATTCCTCCTGGTCTGTGACGGAATTCGACTGGCAGAAAACCCAGCATTTGGGGGCTGCAGCAAGAAACTGTCAAAGCTCAGCTGAGCAGGGCTTGGAATGGGAGGGAGGGGGAGAGACAGAGAAGCAAAGGAGGTGGATGAAACAGGGGGAGCGCCTGCCCTCTGGTGGCCAGTTGGGAGCATAGCCATGCAATGCTCTTCAGTGAGAAATGAATGCAAAAATAGAAAAGGAAGTCTTTGAGGCATTTTCACATATTTGGCTTAAACCAATTTGCACCTAAACCGGCCTGCAACACCTGCATTTCGCAGTTGCTGTCCCATGTGATACAAGTGGGAAAGATGCTCATATCCACGTTTGTCTTGTGTGAAACTGGTTTCCGGGTTGGATCCAGCACCTTAAATGGACAGGATCAACACTTGAGCTTTAAAAAACAGGGGTGGGGAGGAAATGCTCTCCTTAGCAGACAACTTGGATCAAAAGACATCAACAGGGTGCCGTAAAATTAGAGTTTCCTCTCTGCAAGGCCTTTACGTTGTATTTGGCCCCATACTCTTTCATTTCCCTGAGACTCAAAAGGGGAACACTGTCACTTCCTTAATCTGTTCTTTATTTCTGGCCAAGCTAGCAATAAATAATAAAGTGTGGTCCTGGAGTTGCTTACAAGTTCCCCATTCCATAATAATAATATTAAATACCCTGCCCATCTGACTGGGTTTCCCCAGCCACTCTGGGCGGCTCCCAACAGAATATTAAAAACACAATAAAACATCAAGCATTAAAAACTTCCCTAAACAGGGCTGCCTTCAGATTGTCTTCCAAAAGCCAGGTAGTTGTTTATTTCCTTGACATCTGATGGGAGGGCATTCCACAGGGCGGGTGCCACTACCGAGAAGGCCCTCTGCCTGGTTCTCTGTAACCTCGCTTCTCACAGTGAGGGAACAGCCAGAAGGCCCTCAGCGCTGGACCTCAGTGTCCGGGTGAATGATGGGGGTGGAGAAGCTCCTTCAGGTATACTGGGCCGAGGCCGTTTAGGGCTTTAAAGGTCAGCACCAACACTTGGAATTGTGCTTGGAAACATACTGGGAGCCAATGTAGGCCAAAGCACTAAAAATGAAGGCAAAATGCCCCTCAACTCTAAAGCTTACATGTCCCTGAACTCCCAAATGTATTGCATTGTATATTGTATATCTCCACGACTGGGGACTCACACCTTCAAATCACAACAATAAAGTTATTCAGTCATGGTTATTTGGCTTGCAGAATGCTCATAAATGATGATGACATCATGAAATTATTTTTTAAAATGGAATAAGTGGGGTTGCTCACCACAAAATCTGCCCTGGGCCAGGACAAATCATACAGCCAAGTAAACAGGTGAGTGACACTTGCAAGATGCATCCTGTCTTGACCAGAGCTTCCTGTGGATGCATGGCCTGGAGAAGGGCATCTATGCACGACAAAAATAGCAGGAGTAAATACGAAACCACAAGTAACAAAACCACCACAAAATGTGCTTTCAACTGCATGAATGCAGCGGGTGCCTTTTGATGTAATCTTTCAACGTTTGCTGAAAACTTTTCTGTGCCACTAGGCTTATGCAGGCAACTAATATTTCATAGTTAATGTTCTCTGGTATTTGTGGAGTTTTTTTTTAACCTGGATGTTGCTGTTTTTTCTATGTGTGTTCCTCTTTGTGTACAGTTGTTGGAAACTGCTTTGATATTTTTTATGATATTACAAAAATTGTTATAAAGAAATAAATGCATAAAACGTCTTGCCCTTTGCCATGTAGAATTTCTGCCAGCATGCAGTTGCAAAATGTTCTGGAGCCCTACCAGGAAAAAAACCATTGTCATTTCACCATAGAGGCTTAATGAGGATTTGTAGTCTTGAATAACAACTCCTAACCCCTCCGTGGTAATGCCATTTAGAAGATGAGTGTGGAAGAAAATGGTAAGGAAAAGCTTTGCGGCACCTTAAAGATCAGCGCATGGCAGGTGCTTTTGTGAACTCGGGTCATAATAAATGTCCCAGTCTGTAAGATGCCACAACGCTCTTTGCTGTTTCTCCTGCAAAACAAACCATCTTTGGAAGTTGTTACCATGGGTGCAGAAGTGGCGCATTCACCTATTGGATGTTTTCTGCGACACAATTAGTCACAGCGTGGGGATGTTTTGGTGAGTTCTCTTCACAAAGTGAAGCGAGGAGAAGGAGGAGGCGGAAGAAGAAGAAGAAGAATTGAATGACTAGGACATGAATGAACTGTAGCATGGGGCCTAGCAAGTAACAGGAGCTAATCCTCAAGAAGAAAAGCTGGAGCACAACAGCTCACCAGGAAGCTACAGCCTCCATCTCCTAATCCAAGAATGGTAGGGCTAGCAGCAGATAACTACTGTTTTGATACATGCATACAAGTCTTCAACATGGGAACATGGGGAGAGAAGGCCTGGTCTTTGCACAAATGGCTTCCCCCAAAGAATCCTGGGAGCTGTAGTTTGTTATGGGTTTTGGGAATGAAGTTCACGACAATTTTTACTCCCATCACACCAAATGGATGGAATAGGATGCCCCTATATTTTCATTGGAAACAGGCAGATGGCCTTCTCCATAGTGGTGCCTGCCCTGAGCAGGGCCGGTTTTAGGTTTGATGAGGCCCTAAGCTACTGAAGGTAATGGGGCCCTTTATATGTCCAGCTGTCCTTTGTCAACAACAAATTGTCGCTGTTTTTTGTGTTGAATATACGTTAGATGGTAATTTATGGACCTAATAGGCAACCAGTCCATGCAGAATGTAGGCACCCTAGATATGGAAATGAGCAAACCAGTGATATTTTAGGGAGCAGGTTAGCAGGCAGGGCCCATTTCTTACATCATAGGAGCCTACACAACACAACACAAAACACTGTTGCTGTATGTAGGTTTTATTTTATTTGTTTTTTATCTTATATTTTGGAAATGTACATCCAGGGGTTTTTTGGGGGGGGGGCCCAAGAGAGTGGGGCCCTAAGCTATAGCTTGTTTAGCTTATACGTAAATCTGGCTCTGGCCTTGAGGAATGCTTCCCCCAAGTCCAATGTGAACTATTTGACTTTTAGAAGACACCTGAAGGCAGGCCCGTTCAGAGAAGCTTTCAATGGTTGATGTTTTATTGTGTTTTTAATTTTTTGTTGGGAGCTGCTCAGAGTGGCTGGGGCAACCCAGTCAGATGGCTTGTCATATATATACTGTTGTGACGTGGGGTTTGTGATTTCAGCTCTCCTGGTATAACATGCTGGAGACAGTTCTCTAGTAACACTTCTTTATTAAAGCAACAAGACTAAAGACTGGGGAGAGGAAAGCTACATTTATAGGGACAGGGAACTAGCAAGAAAGGATACATTTTGGAGGGAACAATATCAGGCAATCACAGTCCTGCCTTTTGGAGGGAACCAATAAGACAGAGGATCCAAATACAGCAGCTTAAATGAACCAATAGTAGCTGTACCCTCTGGAACCAAAAGGCAGTTACTTTACCCTAATGCAAATACAGACAATAATAATACAGATATAAAATCCTTTGACTCAATACACAACATATACTGTAATAAAATTGTTGTTGTTATTGGAGAAATATTGGAGGGGATGCCGTTGGGCTCTCTGAAGGCTGCCTCACGACCCCCACTTGCCGCGAAAGCGGTGAAGAGAACTGCAGGGCTTTAAGTTTCTAAATAAATAGACTTCTAAATACATCTACTTGTAGCGTCCATTCTGCCTTTTCCTTCAGAGACGGATAACGGAAGGTCAAATACCTGAGTTTATGCTGTGACATCCGCCCACCCATTTGTACACATGGTACAGATATTTTTAATCATAAATTATGGCAGAGAAGTCCCCTGCCATTATTGTGAGGCCTAGGGAGGTTGTGTGATGCCTCCCCAGCTGTTGCCATTAGCTACAGGCTGCCTTCGAAGTCTCAAACGGACATAGCGGCTGAGGAAAAAGAGGGGTTATTAGTTGGGAGGTGGGGAGTTGTAGAGCAAGTGGTTGCAGCTCAGAGCTGGAAGACGCGCCAGAACGTAAATATCGACAAGTGGTGCAATAAATAAATAAATAAATAAATAGCCATGTGCTATTTTAGGAAAAAAATAACACAAAAACTAACGGCAGCCAGGGGACAAAAGATAAAAGGACTCATTTGAGGAAACACGGGAAGCATTTATTTATTTATACCATGTGCACTAGACTATAGACATTTGGAGCTCTTTCTTCCTCTTGAAAATCTGAAAATACTTGGAAGGAAATATATGCAAGAGAAAGGAAACTGTACAGGCGACATTCCACTTATACCATCTAAAAAGCCTGCAAACAACATCTTAAGTCTCTGGAAACCCCGGGGGGGGGGGAACTAGCAGCACTTACCAGACAGGCATGAATGGTGGCAGTGGTGGCTGTCAGTCAAACTCCGCCAAAAAAAACCCAAATTCCACCACAAACGTTCCCTCCAAACCTCTTTTCCCAACCTTCAAAACTCTCCCAAGACCTCAATGGTTGCTGCAAAGGGTTCTGGGATTGCAGTTGCAAAGGCTTCTGGGATTGCTAGCTGCTTTCCTTGCTCTTTTCGCACCCTTTTCGTGGTTTAAATTGAATTATTTATTTCCCTGCGCCATGCCTATACGCAGTCATGCGCCTAAATGGGGAGTCACCTATAGTTACTGAGGTGGCTTAAGCCTGTTAGTGACTCTCGTTCTTTGCATCTAATTGGTTTCATTATTATTATTTTTTAGTTTTTACGATGAGAGGAAATTTAAGATTCTTTTGAAAAGTAAAGCACCAAACTATAGAGCAGTTCACAACAAGCATATGTTGCAAATACCTCTGCACTTCCTTTTCAGGTGCTGAATTGTGGTAAATGTGTCATGCTTAATATCCCCAGGGGCCACCCCTAGTTCTCAGGTTTGGGCCCTTAAACCTTGGGGTCTGGGATACTCCTGACCTGACAACCCTATATATTGCTTAATTCTGCCACACCTGCACCTCAAACCGCAATCCCAGCAAAATCCACTTCTTTAAATAATACTGAGAGCTGAATCTTATGCTCTGCTTAGAGACCTGAACCAATGTTATTATTATTAATTTTTTACAAAGCTTCCAGACCTGCAGACATTTCTCAATTGGTAGACTCAGGGCTTTTTTTAGCCAGAACTCACTGGAACTCAGTTCCAGCACCTCAGGTGGGCGCCATTGTCATTATAAGAGAACAAGAGTTCATGGTGAATTCAAGCACCTCTTTTTCTATAAAAAAATAGCATTGGGTAGACTGATAGGCTAAACACACAATATGAGGGGAAACATCCCGTTATCATTTTATAAAAGCTTTTTGCACTACTACGAGTGAGGATAAAAGTGGGGTTTTGCTCCACAACACCCAAGATGGCAGCCGGACAGTAGAAATGTCATGTAGTTCCTAGTTCAAAAAATGCAGGAACAGGCAAGGTGTGAAGCGAGATTTGTGATGGTGCAGATGAGCCCTGGGTCAAGCCAAGAGCCTCCTGGCAACTCAAAAAGTACCGGTACTTTCTAATTATAGCAGAGCAGCCAAGACACAAAAGGAATAAGGTAGTCAGTGTTCTGTGTTAATATTTGTTTTCCGCATGTTTTTCCTGTAGTGAGGCTTTGATATTGACTCAAAATAACCTGCCAAATATTTGATTACAAATCCCCCATTGTAAAAGATCTGAGCAGCCTTGATTTGCAAGTCTTCATGTTTTTCCAGGGCTACCAAGTTATCCTGTTACTAGGGCCGCCCCACCCATGAGGCAAGATGAGGCGGCTGTCTCAGGCGGCAAGGTCATCAGATCCCAATGTCGGTATTGTCTTTCTCCGCACTCCTCTGCTTGTCCTTGATGCAGATCTTCCCAGGCAGGGAGGGAGGCACCATTTTGGGTTTCGCCTCAGGTGCTGAAATGTCTTGGGCCAGCCCTGCCTGTTACATGACCAGGGATGAGATTAACCACAAGCAAGGAAGGGAAGGCAAGAACAGTAGCTTTGCATGGTGCAAAACTACACAGTGGAATTCTTTCCTAATAAGTGGTATGCAAAGTTACAGCATTGCAGGACCCCCTATGAATTCTTAGTGGCCTGAGAGAGATTTGGGGTGGGCTGGTGGGATGGAGAGACTTTTCCTACCAACAGGTCGTCTTTCTGCATAGCTCTTTCCCCACAAAATGAACACAAGACTGAAGCCCCTGAAGTACCCTATATGCCAGCCTTCCAAGCCCCGGTGATGTTTTGGACTACAACTCCCATCACCCTTACTAGATCCAGACTCTTTTGGATGAGATCAAGTTCCTAGATCCATTTCAATTGGGATCCAGGTCTGGCTTTGGAAAAGGACACTACTACTTTGGTTGCCTTTGTCAGGAGAGAGATGGGGAATGTGACATTGTTGATTCTACTTGATCCCTTCAAAACCATCAACCCTGGGATCCTTCTAGAGTGACTAGAGAGTTGGAAGGGACCCCGAGGATCATCTAGTCCAACCCCATTACGGGGATGGAACCTGCAACCTTGGCTTTATCACCACCATGCTCTAACCAACTGAGCTATCCATCTGAATTGGGAGTAGGTCATACTGCCTTACTTTGCAGATGGGTGTCTCCTGAGGGTGGGTCTTGGTCAGCCCAATGAGTCCTCTAACGTGGGCTATCACAGGGGTTGATTTTATCCCCCATGCTAAGTTCTAATTTAAATTCTGGTTGGGGTCCTCTGGGGAAGTTGGACTGCATTGTTATCAATGTGCTGGTGGCATGCAGCTCGGGTGGCGCTGTGGTCTAAACCACTGAGCCTCTTGGGCTTGCCGATCAGAAGGTCAGCGGTTCAAATCCCTGTGACGGGGTGAGCTCCCGTTGCTCTGTCCCAGCTCCTGCCAACCTAGCAGTTAGAAAGCACACCAGTGCAAGTACCGGTAGGTACCGCTGCAGCGGGAAGGTAAACGGCATTTCCATGCACTCTGGTTTCCGTCATGGTGATCCGTTGCGCCAGAAGCAGTTTAGTCATGCTGGCCACATGACCCGGAAAGCTGTCTGTGGACAAACGCCGGTTCCCTCCTCGGCCTGAAAGCGAGATGAACGCCGCAACCCCAGTCGCCTTTGAGTGGACTTAACCATCCAGGGGTCCTTTACATTTTACCTACCATTACTTCTCCGTTACATACCCAGGTGTGACAATGGATGTGCTAGACTGGCATCATGCTCAGTAATGGACTGGATGAAAACCAATAAACTGAAACTTGATCCAGGACTGCCTCTGGAAGCTGTGCAGAAATTGCAGCTAGAGCAGAATGCAGCAGCCAGATAGCTGACCGGGTCCAGGAGAGAACCTCTGGGCAGAGGTTCAGAATGTATACAAGGGAAATAAAAGGCAGGCCATCCACCTGCCAGAGGACTAGCCTAATCACAGATGCTCCAGATGACACTATTAGTCTGCTCAGAAAATACGATTTGCCACAAGCCAGTTTTAAGATTTGATGCCCCAACCTGAGTTATGTGCTTCGGATGAGGTTTACCAACCTCAACACCTGTAGGGTTCCAGGCAAGGAATGACTGCGATGCCACTCTGCAGCTGCTGACATCTGCAGGTGCAAGTTACATAGGACTTTGATAAGTCATATGATGCTGTGGTGGAGCAGGAAGTCACACGCAGTTGTGGCTTGGGTCGACACGGGGCAAAGGTTTTGCTTGCAGGAAGATCTGGCAGTAAGTAGCAAGTCACGAATGTGCAAAATATACGGAGGACACATTTAATAAAGAAATGTTTTAATTAAAAAACCCCCTCCAAACAGATCATGTCTGGAAATATTAAAAAGAAAACCCACAATGGGAGAACGCTTAAAATGTGTGAGAGGGAAATCTTTCTCTGTTAAAACACAGCAGAACTTTCCAGTTACAGACTACATAATTCCTGTACCTTTATAAAGCATATTGTACAGCCTCCAAAGGTAGATGCCATTTACCACACTGGAGAAACCGAGGCACTACGTGTAAGTTTCTATGTCTTGGCCTACACATGCAGCAGCATGTGGTGGTCACACAGTTGAGTCGCCAGGATGGACTGCACCATTCGAGACTGCATCCTGAAATGACACTTCTGAATGTATTATAGCTGTAAAACTCTACACAAATGGAAAACTGGCTTAGCAGGCAAAAGGGCTGTGCCAGAATATTCTCTCTCATATGCTAGTTTTCTGGGGGGTGGGGGTGGGAAAAGGATTTTTTTAAAAAACACGAGGGATGCCAGTTTTGAATACCCCCTCATCTGCAATCCAAAATGGTCCCATTTGCTGTACTGCCTCATTCTGCTACATGTGTAAAGCACATTCACAAAAACTGCATATTAATTGCAAACAAAAACAATTGTTTACAAGGCGTACAGTCACCAGGGGGTTGCGGCCGACGAAATTCAACGGAGCAGTCCCGTTGAAATGACGAACCTAAGCAAATTATGTGCATTCGTTTCAATGGGTCTCCTCTGAGTAGGAGTAACATTGGGTACAACCAGCCATGTCTAGTCTGGCCCCAACCTCTGTGGCTTGCAGCAGGGGTTTTGTAGATTCTCAGGACCGGGCAATGATGGGGCTGAGTCACATGTGAACTCTTGTTCCCCATTCCTCCAGATTCTCCTGGTGTTTGCACAAAGGTTTAAAAATAAGCTTGTCATGCCAACTTAGCAAGTTTTTCTTCCTTGCTTAGCTTATGATGGTAGTGGTTGACCTCTTTCCCCCACATGAAAATTCTGCCACTCTTACTGGAACTGATTTCTGTGTACACCACGGCTTCCTACAGATTTCATGTCCCAGACTTGTCTTGGCACGCCAAGAGAAATCCCCCTCAGAAGATGCAGCTGAGACAGCTCTTTCTCAATCTCAGCAAGCCAGGTTTGCATGCAAAAGGAAGGAGGTCAGGACTCTAGCAAAAGCGGATTGGAAGAGAAGCACCAAAGAGCAACTCAGTGCCCAGATTGTTCTGTCATCTATTTATCCACAGTGAAATGGGAACAACCCTTTGGGAACACAAAGAATCAGCTCCAGAAGTCTCTTCCGCATCTTCTCAATGTGGGAAGCACAGCTCAGGTATGTCAGAGCCCAGAGTGAAAGGTCAAGGCATATGGTTTGTGTTGATCCCACAATCATAAAGCAAAGCATGTTTCTTTTTCAGGAAGGCTGAAGGCACTATTTGCTTTTTCGATGCTTAGCTCTTTCGTAACCTTTTCCCGCCCCAAACAAGGCTGACGTTTTGAAAAGATGTGCTTGAGCAAAGCCTTTAAGTTTTCTCCCTTCCGCCGTGCCGTGAAGAATGGTTCCTTTTCATAAGGCAAAGTCAGTCCAAGAAGAAGCTCCCCTCCCTCATCTCTGCAGGCACAATTCATAATCGCTTGCTATAATGGTCCATGTTTTAAGAAATGCATACAATCAAGTTCTGTTGGCTTTGGGAAGAAAAGTGGGGGAGGGAAGTGTCAAGGTCCAGTAAGTCCTGAGTGTCTGTAAAAAACCCCAAATGTAAATAAATACATGGACAAGTTTGTTTTTCCTCTTCCCAAAAGCAGCTTTGGCTGACGTCACTTGGCTGCAACTCTAGAAATCATCCATTCTAAACCAGCTGGAAGGCTGCAGGGAGTAGAGAGGAAAAGTTAGTGCTGGGGAAATCACAAAGCACAGCTCCTAGTAAACAACCCATATTATCACTACTGTCTGCCAAGGGACAAGTGCCTAGAACCACCACCCCCCAATCATTCAGTTTGTACAAACTTCACACACACTACATACGCACGCTTCTGTTATAAATTCATAGAAAATCAACCATACATCGGATTTGCACTGTTCCACTTTTATTTTACTCCATGAAGGAAGGACTACAAAATGGGGAAGGTTTGATACAGGGCAGCCATAATCCCCTGAGCATACCAGCACATACACAGGAGCCCTGCCCAGTTGCTATGCCAGCCCTGATGGTCCTAGACAGAAGACCATCAAGATCACAAAGAACTTGCATATGGGAGTGGATTCAGCACAGACTGGAACAAAGGACAATAATCAGCTCTTCCCTCTGGGGGCAGGAAACTGCAAACTCCCCTCTGTCACCTGGAAAGTACTCATGGGGAGGGGGAAAGGGGGAACCAGCCAGGTGACAGGACTCCTCCCTCAACCCCTCCTTTCTGTGATGTAGGTGTGATGTATCTGAGGGGTGGTCTTAAGTTAACCCCTTCTGTGATGTATGTATGATGTTTCTGGGGGTGGTCTTGATCTACAGGGTGGCAATTTCAAAAGTCTTTATAAGGCCTTGCACACCATTTTTCTGGGTCCCTCCTCTCTCCTGCGGGTGAGGGGAGCACCATGTTGCAACAGATCAATAAAGGCCAAGCGTACAGGCTGCTGTTTTGCTCCAAGTTATCCTGGTTGGTGTCTTTGTTTTTGTCCAAGGGAGCCCTCGGGATTTTTCCGTTAACACTAGTCTTCCTCCTAATTTGTTCTTCTTATCATATCTCCATCCTAAGCCCAGACTGAGGGCTCACCCACACTGTCCTCCTACTTTCCTTTAGGGAAACATGCTGTTTACCAAACATCAATCCGTTTTTCTGCAGACTGACATTTGTTCCAATTCAGTGGCAAACTACAGAAAGCACAGAACAAGCGGAAAACCTCTCGGACTCTTACTTTCTAGGCCAACGACAAGCAGAACTGAGGATGACTCCTGAGTCAAAAATGGTGAAGCCACATTATCAGAAATAACAAAGGTTGGCTAAAATGGGGGACGGAACAGATAATATTTTTCAATTAGAAAAATATTAGGGCAGTCATCAGATTAGAGAAACCTCTGATCGGTTATATGAGTTTTCACTGATTACAGTAAACGAATTTATGTTCGTAAGAAAGAAACAAGACTTTGTATAGCATTCCTCCTTCTGTCCCACCCTTTATGTCTCCTTTGCCCCACAATCAGGATGCAGATTTGTAAGAGATAAAAACACTGGTGCCTAAGACTTAAAGTCCCAGGATCCTTTAAAATAAATTCTGGGCAAAATTGGTGAAGTAGCAAAGGTTTATTGAAAGAAAAACATGGTTAACACGAGCTCTGCTAAATTTGCAAACCTTGTTCTACAGGCAGTTGCTTAAAAACATCCTTTTAAAATGGCTAAGTTATGAATTGAGGTCTTTAGGCCTGCAAAGCATTACTAAAAGCATCCTTAAAATTATTTTTTAAAAAACATGGAAAGGCAACATATATCTCACAATATTTAAGATGCCAATTGTAACTTGCAGTTTCTTTTATATATAAATACTTGTGTGTGTGTGTGTGTGTTTGTTGTTGTTTTTTAAACAGCTGGTTTTGGACAATTAAAACAATTTTAATGCACAAATTAAGGGTTTTAGCACTAGAAAACACCAAAAAGCACCAGATCTCAGATGTAGGAAGGTGCTTCGTTTATTTTGTTTTACCGTGACAGGAACAAACTGCCATGAGCCCTTGGATCACACATTCCTCCCTTCCTCCCTCCTCTAGTGTTGTTGCAATTAGCTACACCTTGTCATTTCATCCAGACCTGACAAACTGTGGCTAATCATATTTTTTTGATCGTTTAAAACAAGCCCATTTCAAACCAGAGATTACGGAACTGGCCTAAATGGGTGGTACTCACCCCTCTCCTGTGAGTGCGCAACATCCCTGAATATGCCATGGGTGGTCTTTGATAGAGCTCAAGGTAAGAAAGTTTGAGATCTCAGAGGTAGACATGGAATTTTTGACATCCTGCTTGTTGGCATAAATCAACACAGCTGCATTACGTAGGTCCTGGGGAGAGGAATGAGAAAATTCCCCCTTTACATCCAGCTCTCTGACCCACACTACTGCCCACCCAAAACCACAGGACTGACCCATAAAACTAACAGCTTAAAGATATGGGAGTCACTCCGTTAAAAAAAATAAAATCTTCTTAGACAGCCAAATTAATATTTGTAGTAACCAAATGTAGGTCCATCTTAGGACACCAGAAGATAATATGTGCAAGATACACATTTGAACTCTGTGTACCTGCAGCATTTGAATTACCGTATTTGTCTGACCAGCTTCTGTAGTGCTTAGGGTGTTGAACCAGGATTAAAATCCCCACTCAGCCATGGAGCTCACTGGGTGATTTTAGATTGCTCATACCAGTTGTGAATTTACCTGAGGAGATTATTATCCAATCAATTTGCTGTGACTTTACCTGAGGAGATTATTATCTAGCCAATTTACCTGTGGAGATTATTATCTAGCCAGTTTGCTAACCAATATATGTGGTGGGCCCTTTGCTGAATTCAAGATAAATTACTTCCACAACATTCTCACAATCCACTATCCTAGTAAACCAATTTAAAAAAGGAATAAGATTAATTTGATGGGATTCAGTCTTTACAAATTCATGTGAGCACCTAATCACTGCATTGTTATTAAAATGCTTACAATTAGACTTGCTTGAACATCAGTTCTAATATCTTTTTCCTGGTGTCAAAAGTCAGCCTGACTGGCCTGTAGTTTTCCAGATGTTCCTTTCCTCCATTTTTGAAGATTGGAACAATGTCTGTCTCCAGTCCTGTGGCATCTTATCTGTTTTTCAGGATTTCTCAAAGATGATAGGAAAAGGTTCTGAGAGTACACCAAGAAGATCCTTCAGTACAACTGATCTGCTCCTAAGACTTGGACTCGTTTAAAATAACTAGGTATTTCCTGGCCGCCTCAGGTGTTGCTGAACTACAACTCCCATCATCCTTTGTCATTGCTGGGTGAGTTGAAGTTTAGCAACATCTGGAGCACCAAAGGTTCCTCACTTCTGATGGAGATGTATCATCAAGCACCTTAATGAATATTTGGCCTCTTCCCTGAGGCAATTTGTGCTCAGCTGTCAAGGCTGGCATACACACGCAGGCAGCAGAATGAGATGGCAGAATGGAATGCGTTATTCCAGGGTGGGGAATGAATGAATCGTTATTAGCATGGGGAGAAGGCCGCTGTTGCCATGTGAAGACTCCCTGCAAAGACAGACCGGGGAGGGAAGGCTCTTGCAGAACCTGCTGCCTGCTAAGCTAGCTTTCTACTTGTGGGGTGATTGTTCCAGAGCAGAACATTCGAAAACGAGATCCTCGCCCAGTCTGAAATAAAACAGTCCGTTCGGACCACCACAGAACTCTGCCATCTCAATCGCCACGTGCAAGTCAGGCCTTTAGGCAGCATTAGTCCAGCAACTTTGGCAGGGTTCGCTGAAGTGTCTGGGAAAATCTGGACGTATGGCAGCCCATGTTGGTAGCGTAGATTTTGGCGAATACAGTGGTACCTCGGGTTAAGTACTTAATTCGTTCCAGAGGTCCGTTCTTAACCTGAAACTGTTCTTAACCTGAAGCACCACTTTAGCTAATGGGGCCTCCTGCTGCTGCCGCGCCGCCACAGCACGATTTCTGTTCTCATCCTGAAGCAAAGTTCTTAACCTGAAGCACTATTTCTGGGTTAGTGGAGTCTGTAACCTGAAGCGTATGTAACCTGAAGCATATGTAACCCGAGGTACCACTGTATAATTAAAAATAGCTCAAAAACTCCTCTCTCTTTCTCTCTCTCTTGCCAAATAGAGAGAGAGAGAGAGAAAGAAAGGATAGAGATAGATAGATAGATAGATAGATAGATAGATAGATAGCTCAACAACTTTGCCCCCCCCCAAAAAAAAGCTCAACAAATTGTCCTGATTTTCACTTTTTGAAATATGGGAACCCTCAACTTTGGTTGTCATCAAGCATCATTGGCTCACGGTTAATATACAGCTTGCAAAACAGCCTCACCGTCCCTCTGTATGCTGTGTGGCAAGGCAGACTCACCTCATGAGCAAGCATCTTGTACAGTTCCTCTTTACTCATTGTCAGCCTCTCACGGTCTGTGCTATCGATCACCAGAATGACAAACTACAAAGGAAGCAGAAAGCACCAAAAGCTATGAGCTCATCTCGGCAACAGAATCCAAAGCTACAGGGCTGAAACCTAAAACCTAAAACCTAATAAGGCTAGGTGCTGTTGTTTGATCCCTATCGGGAAGCTCTCCCCACCCCCCACCCCACCCCAAGGCTCCACTTCTGTGGAAAGACCTCCCTCTCCTGAAGTTCTCCTAAGTACAACTTTTTAGTCTTTCAAATGGCATGTAAAAAAAATGAGGCAATCTCCTCTTCTGCACGATGTTCTGGGGGCTCCTCCAAACCCCTCCTGGCCCGACTGGGGGGTGGGCGGGCTGGAGAGAGCCCCCTTGTGGTAGCAGAAGACCTTGCACCTCCAGTTTTTGTTTTCATTTAGATTCGTTTGGGGTTTTTTTATTGTACAGTCATACCTCGGATTAAATGTGCTTCAAGTTGAGCGCTTTTGGGTTGCGCTCCGCGGTGACCCGGAAGTAACGGAGTGTGTTACTTCCGGGTTTCGCCGCTCGCGCATGCGCAGACGGTCAAAATGACATCACGCGCATGCGCGAAGTGGCGAATCGTGACCCACACACGTGCAGGCGCGCAGTTGCGGGTTGCGTTCGCTTCTGGATGCAAATGGGGCTCTGGAACGGATCCCGTTCGTATCCAGAGGTACCACTGTACTGCATTATGAAAAATTAAAATTTTATGGAACAAGATGGGGAAAGAAGAAGAAAAAACAACATCAAAGTAAAGCTGGGCAAAACCTCAAAAAAGCCAAGGAGTGGATGGCAGAGGTCATGGCTGAGCAGGAATTTGGTTATAGGCTCTGTATAGCTCCTGGCTCTGCCGCTTAGAAACATTGGAATCTGCCCTATACAAAGTCAGAACACTGGGTCCATGTAGCCATGTCTACACAGGTTGGCAGCGGCTCTTGGGATGGGGGTTCAGATAGGAGTCTTTTCCCATCACAACTTGGAGATTTGGGGAACTGAACCTAAGACCTTCCACATTAGGGTTTCCCAGACTTGGGTCTCCAGCTATTTTTGGACTACCATTCCCATCACTCCTGACCACTGGTCCTGGTACCGAGGGATGATGGGAGCTGTAGCCCCAAAACAGCTGGAAACATAAGTTTGGGAAACCCTGTTCTACATGCAAAGCAAATGTTTTACCCCTGAGCTATGGCCCTTCCCGGTCACTTGCCATAAACAGCATCAAATTTATGCAACATACACACACAGAAACAAAAACTGCTCAATTTATACATGCCAAGAAATTACGCATTTGCGTACCAAATTAAAATTTTTGTCGGAGGGGTAGAGAGAGAAAGAATACACAGGGCCATCGAGTTTTCTCAACTTCTCCCATAAGCGATACATAATTGGTGTGAAAACTGTTTTAAAAAGGGGTTTATTTTGGGTGAGTAGATTGTCTTGCTTTGTTGATCTGGTGCCTAGGCAAAAACTGAGAAAACACATAGGCGGTGGTTGGGGGAAACGAAGGGGGCGGGAACATTCTGCTTCTAGAAATGTCAAGAATGTCCTCTTGGCAGTCAAACGGACGTGTCTCGGCCTGGCTTTGTTCTGCCAGAGCAGACGGAGAGCTGCGTGTGACGCAGACAGGGCTCAAGTCTCGTTCCTCCCAACAAAATATTATTTTAGCCTCATTCCCAACGACCTGGGAAGAAAGGCTAGCAAAGCCTAGCTAAGCACGGGTTAGGGAATGTATTTTGCAGTGTAAATATGCCAAGAGGGATAAAATAGTAGACAGAACACGGCTATTTGGGTTTGAGACAACTGTGAATACCGGAAAGGAAAACTGCCTTTGACTGAGTCAGACTGTGAGTCCATCTAGGTTCGTATTATTTATACAGCCTGTGTGTGACTCTCTGGGAGTTCAGGAAGGGTCTGTCTTTTCCCCTCTCTACCTGCAGATGCCAGAGAGAGACTATGGGGCTTTATGTATGCAGAGCATGTGCACAATGACTGAGCTATGGTTTTTGCCAGAGGAATCTACCTTATACTGAGTCGATAGCTATTTAATGCTTGCAACCACAGGCCATTGCAAGTACAGTGGTACCTCTGGTTGCGAACGGGATCCGTTCTGGAGCCCCGTTCACAACATGAACAGAACGCAACCTGTGTCTGCATGTCTGTGCGGGTCGCGAGTCGCCACTTCTGCGCATGTGCGTGACGTCATTTTGAGCGTCTGTGCATGCGTGAACAGCAAAACCCGGAAGTAACCCTTTCCGGTACTTCCGGGTCGCCGCGGGACGCAACCTGAAAACGCTCAACCTGAAGCAAACGCAACACGAGGTATGACTGTACAATAATATACGCAAGCATACAGCACAAGTAAATATAATCTTCCCTTAAAATCAGATCAAAGTTATAATCCACCTTGGAACTTCTGGGGGTTTACTCTTTTTAAAATTTCAGCTTGCTCAAATTAATGCGTCACCTCTGCAAACCACTGACACTTGGGTTCAAAATTACTGTGTGCATTTTCCACGCTGGAACTTCAAACAGTGCAAGTTGAGGGGACAGATATTTCTGTTCATCAGATAGCAGGTGAGTCACGATGTCCTGAACTGGCCACCAACTACATTGCAACGTGAAACAATTTCCAGGATAGGCAGTGCGGAACACAATGAACTAAATTCATGACACCAGCCTTCCAAACTTGCACTAGGTCAGAAATTGGTCCTTCCAGCCCAGTGTTGTCTGCAGCAAGTTGGGGAGAAACTCAAGCCGAGCCACCTCATTTGGCCTAAAAGGAAGTTTCGGCCAAGCCATGCCCACTAGCCCTAGAGATGATGCCAGGTGTGGAGCAAGCTCCCTGCTGAAAGTCCATCAGCTGATGTGCCTTTGTAACTATGCAGGTGAAGGAAAACAGGTCACCTGATGTCCCTGTGACATCAGGTAATTGACAGGCAGGGGTATCATCTGTCTCAGCTCTACCTGGTATACCAAACCTGAGATCTTCCACATGCAAAACATGTCCTTCACTGAGTTATGGCTCTTCTCCAACCAGAATTGTTAAGCAGCCACTAACACCTAGATCTCACAAACAGCAGGCCAGGAAGCTGTGAATGGACAGCAGCACTTCAGGTTGCAAGTGGGAGCTCACAAGACTGAGTGCAGGACAACTAGCCTAAGGCAACTTAGTGAGCTCATGGTCGAAACATGATCTGTAGCTCAGCCTTAGTCACTGTCCAAGGCAGGGAACCTGGAGCCCTAGTTTATATTGGGAAGGAATTGCCGCCCAGGTCTAATTGGCCAGTGACCCTAGAAGGGCACTTTGAGTCTTCTTCTAACTGCACATGGCTCAAATAATCTGCATTTCTTTACAGGCACCTTTTTCTGTAAAACACCTAACCCTCTGCTAATCTCACCCCAATCTGGATGGAACAGGTTGCTTCGCAGAAGGTGAATGGGTTGAGAGGATCATGCTTGCATCCAGGTAGGTAGTTCAACAGGGAGATGTGATGTCTTCTAGGGCAGAGGGTCACTCATTCTGGATCTTCTCTACGCTGCAATATTTCTTTTCATGGAATCAGAACTGGGAAGTGCCTAAAAGGTCATCTAAGTCCAGCCCACTGCCAGTCCAGAAAATCCACTTCTGCGACAGCATGCCTGATAAAAGCTGGCCACCTAGCCTCTGCTAATACGGCAGAGCATCTTCCAAGGTCAAGCAGCTTGTGCCATTAGGAAATTCTTCTAATGTTTAGTCTAACTCCCTAATTTAGGTAAAGGTAAAGGTACCCCTGACTGTTAGGTCCAGCCGCGGACGACTCTGGGGTTGCGCGTTCATCTCACTCTATAGGCCAAGGGAGCAAGCCAGCATTTGTCTGCAGACAGCTTCTGGATCGTGTGGCCAGCATGACTAAGCCGCTTCTGGAGAACCAGAGCAGCGCACGGAAACACCATTTGCCTTCCCGCCAGAGCAGTACCTATTTATCTACTTGCACTTCGTGCTTTCAAACTGCTAGGTTGGCAGGAGCTGGGACCGAACAACGGGAGCTCACCCCGTCATGGGGATTTGAACCACCAACCTTCTGATTGGCAAGCCCTAGGTTCTGTGGTTTAGACCACAGCGCCACCCGCGTCCCAACCCTCTAATTTACTTTCGCCTTATTTGGCTGAATCCATACAGCTCACCTCTGTGTTGGAATAGTAGGTGTGCCAAGTAGACCTCAAGGTTTCCTGCCCACCAATGTCCCACATCAGGAAGTGTGTCTTGCGCAGGACGATTTCCTCCACGTTGCTGCCGATCGTAGGAGATGTGTGCACGACCTCGTTCATTAGGCTGGAAGGAGATCAGAGAAGTAAGCCGCCTGAGCCCTCAACAGCTACCTCGCCACCCTCCAACCTGCAAAAATGAGCTGGGCTTATGAGACACGTTGGCCTTCCTCCCCTGGCTCCGATTAACAATCTACAACACCTTGGAGATGCTGGGAAGGCTTGTGACACAGGATTCCTCAACCCGAATCTCTATGGAAGTGGCTAGACTACAACTCCCATCTTCCCTGGCGATTGGCCATGGTGGGTGAAGCTGACGAGAGGCCACCAACATTTGGAAGGGTCCAGACTGGAGGGTAAGGCTGATTTCCGGCAACAGTAACCCTGCCTTGGCATTGGGGAGCTGTGCAATACAGAGCTCTGTACAATACACAGCTCTGTGCAATACACTTTGTGCAATACACAAAGGCCAATGGGAAAAGGTTGTTGTGGTTGTTAAAATTTGTATACTGCCCTATACCTGCAGGTCTCAGGGTGGTTCACAAGAGAAAATCACAATATAAAAATACAATACACATTTTTTAAAAAAACCTCAAGAATTCCCCCCTCCCAAACACATTTTTAAAGGGCATTGGATGTCAATCAGCCAAAGGCCTGGTTAAAGAGGAACATTTTTGCCTGGCTCCTAGAAGTATACAGCATAATGAAGGCACCAGAAGAATCTCCCTGGGAAGAATATTCCACAGCACAGTGTCCAACTCAAGGCCTGAGGGCTACATGTGGGCTACATGCTGGCTAGGGGTGATGGGGGCTGGAGCCCAGGAACCACTGGATGGCCAGAGGTTACCAATCCCTGACCTACATTAAACCAAAAGCGAGAGAGAATTACGGACTTCTAAAATGAGTGTAGGATGGGGAAGTCCTCCCAACAGAAAGCACTTTGTTGATTTCAGCTGAATCCCTATTAGGTCCTCTTAGATCCCAGAATGCAGATTCCTTGAGGTTTAGCTGATCTCTCTCTCTCTCTCTCTATTTTATTTTATTATTTTATTTTATTAATATTTCAGGTATTATCTTTGGGTACAAAGAGTTGTATTCAGCTAAGTTCTAGTGCCACCCATAGTGAGTGCTACCCATAGTGAATTCAGTTGCACCATTTAGGTACAAAAGGCCCATATCTGCACGTCACACAATACTGTGAACAAGCAACATGCAAACGTACACTGTCTGGTCACTTCTACTTTGCTCCTTTACTGGGTGTGAACAAGAGAAACTAACCAGGAAGCCTTGGCTTCCTGTTATGTCCAAATCAGTAATTGTCTTCTCCTTATCAAGCAACGATTATTAGTCAGTTGTTGGCTGCTATCAGGAAGCTGAACAAACCATGAGTCCTGGTTCAGACATAACAGGAAGCAAAGGTTTGTTTCTCCCCATCTCGTGAGAAGAAAAGTGGGAGCAACTGGTCAATGCTCAGCAGGCATTGCATCAAGATAAGAGTGGCTTTTTGCAATGTGCAGACATGGCTGCTCCCCTCCTGTATAAACTGTGAGGCACAGTTTAGCCCTGACATTTGAAACAGGCTCAGTCTTGCGCCAAGTCCCAATGCAACCTGCATATGCACCATACATCTAAAGCACGTTTAAAGCAAACTCCCCCTTCAAAATTGGAGTATACTCTTCACAAAGCTATCATTCCCAGCAGCCTTAAACTACAGTTCCCAGGATTCTTTGAGTGGTTGCATTAAATGTATGGTGTGCATGCTTCACAGAATCCCTCATACTGTATCTAACCAGTAAGTTGAACATAAATAAAAATTCAATGTGTGAGGGAGGTACTCACAACTGGTAGAGGATGGTGGTTTTCCCAGCATTGTCCAAGCCAATAATTATTACTTTATGCTCTGGAGGGGAATAAAACACAACAGATGTTCAAGATTTTGATCAACAAGTTTCTAAGGAAAATACAGTTTGAGATTTATTTAACTGGTCCATACACTGAACTGTGATCGGGGAGTTGGAGAAAAAGTAAAGTTGAAGGGTAGCTTTTTGCCCAATATCACCAATGAAATCATGGCTGGGGGGGTGGAGTGGGGAGCACAGCCTTATATGGATCTTTGTTTTTATGGACTCAGCGGGTAGTGCTGTGGTCTAAACCACAGAGCCTCTTGGACTTGCTGATCAGAAGGTCGGCAGTTCGAATCCCGGTGATGGGGTGAGCTCCCGTTGCTCTGTCCCAGCTCCTGCCAACCTAGCAGTTCGAAAGCACATCAAAGTGCAAGTAGATAAATAGGTACCGCTCCGGTGGGAAGGTAAAAGGCGTTTCCGTGCACTGCTCTGGTTCGCCAGAAGCGGCTTAGTTATGCTGGCCGCATGACTCGTGAGCTGTCTGCGGACAAACGCCGGCTCCCTTTGCCTACAGAGCGTGCAACCCCACAGTCGCCCATGACTGGACCTAACGGTCAGGGGTACCTTTACCTTTACCATAGAATCATTTGCATGCACAACTTTAAACAACAACAAAACCTGTACAGTGGTACCTCAGGTTACATACGCTTCAGGTTACATATGCTTCAGGTTACAGACTCCAGAAATAGTGCTTCAGGTTAAGAACTTTGCTTCAGGATGAGAACAGAAATCGTGCAGCGGTGGCGCAGCGGCAGCAGGAGGCCCCATTAGCTAAAGTGGTGCTTCAGGTTAAGAACAGTTTCAGGTTAAGTACGGACCTCCGGAACGAATTAAGTACTTAACCTGAGGTACCACTGTAGTTGTTTAAGAGACTTCCAGGGGTGCCCCACTCCTCAGAAATGTCATGGGCCACTGCAGTAACACTTTGCTCTTATTACCAAATTTAGACTCCACACATGTACCAAACATGCTTATTCACAGCTATTCTGAAAGTTCTACCAGTCTGAGTCAGTCATCCCAATCAAGTTTCAACTTTTGACTACTAGAAGGTGAATGTGACTTTTCTCAATCTCTTCCAAGGAACTCAGAATGGCATATGCAGCCCACCCTGTCTAAGGTGATCATGCGTCTTACTTCCTCATCCTCTGTTGGAAGGTATATTTTGTTTGAAGGGTTGCCTGTCTAAGTCCAGTTGAAATGTCAATCACCCCAAGAAGGCAGAAAGGGGGGAGGGGGGCTGAACCTGCCCATCATCAATAGTTAGCAGCTAGAGAGTAACCGAGCAGCGATGTTGGGTTCTCCTGATCAAAATCTTCCCCGTTCTGGCACAACAGACTGAATATCTATTTAGGTTACAGTAATTCTTTCTAGATTTGCATCTATGCCATAAATGTGCATGTGCGAATATTGTGTGTGTGTGTGTGTGAGAGAGAGAGAGAGAGAGAGAGAGAGAGAGAGGGAGGGAGGGAGGGAGAGAAAGATGTGTTTCCTAACCTTGCTTGAAGAAGTGCAAAGTGCCCCTTTTTCTGCACACTTTCAAAGCAGCAAACTGAAAAAGGAAGAGTTAGGAATGGAAGCTGCATGACCCAAACTCTCCTTGGCAGCAATGGCAGTAAAACAGAAACCTATCATCCTCTAGCTAGCATATTCCCCTGTGCACAAGAAGACTACCGCCATGCTGCCCAAGTTTGAGCGACAAAGAGCAATTCAGCATTCTTATAAACAGGAACAGAAAGTTTCTTAAGCAAAGACGCTCAATTGTCATACATGCATAACCTTTTGCAGCTGAAACAGTGGCTATACATGAATAGTTTGACTGGAAGACAACGAACAACAGGCATAATATGTCCTGGAGTATCCCAAACTCAGCTTTTTCCCATGCCAGTGTGTTCCTCTCTAGACATCCTTGTGCAACTGCCAGGGCCCCATCAACCCAGCCTTGCAACCCCACACAACCCAGTCTTGTATCCTCACACAACACCCCGCCCTCCCGCTGGGGACCTGTCATTACAAATTACTGACAATGAATCAAACTCAAATAGCAACTGTTTGGCACAGATCAGAGGAGCACCAACACTGGAGAAACTCGCAGTGATGTACGAGTTCCTCTCTCTGTTTCTATGGGTCCAGCTCTGTTTCTATACTTCCAAAAGCTGTGGCATCCACATCGACCAAGCAATCTTTTGCTATCGCACATAACACCAAGCTATGGTTTTACTAAACCTTAGCTTAGTGTTGTGTGAATCCCGTCCAGCCTCTTTAAGTGTGGTGTCTTTACTGCCAACAAAGGACCCTTGTCATCCCTTCCAACTCTACAATTCTATGAAAACCATGATCTGAAGCCATGGTTTGTTCTTGGGTATACTTGGGTAAAACCTTAATTGTTTTAACTGTGGCATTATGTGTGTGACCCCAGCAGCCTTCCATAACCATGGTTTCTATGACCACCCCACCCTAGATTTTCACCAAACTACAAAGGCATAAGGTAAGAAGAGCTGGGGGGCGGGATCCAAATTTGGGGTAATAAGGCCATGGTTTGTTTGGTCACCTATAGGATGAGTTGTGGTTTGTTTCAAAAACAAACCATGGCTTAGTATTAGGAGCCAAGCAAACCAACACGTGGACTGCAATGTGTGTACTCACTTTGTCATCCCCTTTTTTCATTACAGTGGTATCTTGGTTCTCAAACTTAATCCGTTCTGGAAGTCCGTTCCAAAACCAAAGCGTTCCAAAACCAAGGTGCACTTTCCCATAGAAAGTAATGCAAATTCGTTCCAGACTTTTAAAAACAACCCCTAAAACAGCAATTTAACATGAATTTTACTATCTAACGAGACCATTGATCCTTAAATGAAAGCCATAAACAATGTACTGCAGACACACAATCAATCAATCTATCAATAGTTGAACTGGGTTCCACACAGTCACAAAAACAAAAGAAAAAGAGCCTCAAAAACCAAAACACAAAATAAAAAGCAAAAACAGACAGACCTCAACGTAACACTCAAAATGGAATTGTGGCACTTAAATCGGAAGCGTAACACTCAAAACAGAGCATGTTCGGCTTATGAAAAAAGTTCGCAAACCGGAACACTTACTTCCAGGTTTGCAGTGTTTGGGTTCCAAGTTGTTTGAGTACCAAGGCGTTTGAGAACCAAGGCACCACTGTACTTGCCCCTTGCATTACCAAGAACCTTAGAGAGCTCAAAGAGGAACCACAATTCGAACTTAAGCTACAAGAAAGCAAAGACTTGGAAGCAAACGTTGCATCCCCAGCCAGTGTAGCAAAGGCATCAGAGCACACAATTGTGGAGTCCAAAGGATGCCTGGAGCAAGGGAAAAGTTTGGCACAAGCTGCATATGGCCTTTATACTTCTTTCTATTCCTATCAGCAAAAAAATCAGGTACGAACGGAATTTCACTTTCCTCCGTTCCATCCCTTGGGCACTTTAGAAACCAACTTTGCAGCAGAGTACACAGAAGAAATCGGGACACAAAACAAACAGGTTGTACGTGGTTATGGCCGAGGTTAAAAGCCAAGACTCCAGTGAACAACTCCCCACTCGACAAGTGTTTTAGTTCATAAACATTTCAGGAAAAGTTTGTTTTACGCTGCAAGTTGTAGATGATAACCTGTCTCTCCCCATCTCCCACATACGGCTAGGGTAAAAATTCCATATATGGCCAGATTAGGTAACAAGAAAGGCTTTTTTGTTGCTTTTGGCCAAGAGCCATGTTTTAAAATATCAGCTCCCTACCTATTAAGAAAGTGTTTGGTGGCTCCATCAGATAAACAGTTAAATTGCTTTCTGGAGAAGGAAGGAAATTCTACTGCAAGGTAAAGAATCAACACAATGGAAGAATTGGTTTTCTCCAGAGACGTATCCCAAGACTGGCCTCACATAACAGACTCCATTAGTGGTTTTGTTATGTTTTGTGGTATTTTATGCATTACGACTTGCTGTTACTTTAATTAAGTGTAGCTTAGTAATTCTTTGTTGCAACTGTCAAGTGCAAACTGTTCAATTATTATTTGCTGAAACTTAATTTTACTGTTTGCTTTATTATATTGTAATGGACGGTCGAATATTGCTTTATTTGATATACACATGTAGTTTATTTTAAAGTTATGATTTTATTATAACTTGTTTGCATTGGCTCAGATTGTTATGAGGTGTGTGGTCTTTGCTGTGTATTTTGTTGTTTCTTCAGCTTATAAATCACCTTGTATAGAAAGGCGGTATGCAAATTAAAAGTGATGAAGTGAAGAATTAACCGCATGGTCTCAAATGTCAGAAAAAACACATGAGGCTTGTATATGAGTCTGTTATGTGAGGCCAGACTTGGGATATGACTCTGGAGAAAACCAATTCTTCCATTGTGTTGATTCTTTACCTTGCAGTAGAATTTCCTTCCTTCTCCAGAAAGCAATTTCACCCACACCCACCCACGGAATTAAGGAAACTTTTTCAGCCAAGGGCCACATGTGCTCATACAGAGCCTCCCAGGGGCCAGGTGCAAACTAGGTACAGTCATAGCTTGGCTCCTGAACGCCGCAACCCCGGAAGTGAGTGTTCTGGTTTGCAAACATTCTTTGGAACCCAAACGTCCGCTGCAGCTTCTGATTGGCTGCAGGAAGCTGCACCTTGGTTCCCAAACATTCGACTTCCGAGGTACAACTGTAGTCTTTGTTGTTGTCATTGCAACACAAGCTAACACAGGGATGCCTACATCAGGGATGAACGGACTGTGGCGTTCACAATGATGCTGAACAACATTACCCATAATCCCTTGGGCCATGCTGGCTAGGGGTGATGGGGGCTGGAGCCCAGGAACCACTGGATGGCCAAAGGTTACCCATCCCTGACCTACATTAAACCAAAAGGGAGAGAGAACGACGGACTTCCAAAACAAGTGTAGGATGGGGAAGTCCTCCCAACAGAAAGCACTTTGTTGATTTCAGCTGAATCCCTATTAGGTCCTCTTAGATCCCAGAATGCAGATTCGTTGAGGTTTAGCTGATCTATCTATCTATCTATCTATCTATCTATCTATCTATCGGAAGCCGCGCTTTGGTTTCTGAACGTTTTGGAAGTCGAACGGACTTCTGGAACGGATTCCGTTCGACTTCCGTGGTACAACTGTACAGCAATGGATGAGACTCTTGCCTGCAGTAGGCTAAATTCCAGCTGCGCAGAAGCCAGAGGTTTCAACAAACAAATCTCTCCATCATTGCAAGCAAGAGGCATCATCACACTTCAAAGACACATCTAGCTAAGGAAGAGCACCCAGGGAGGGTGAGGAGCAGGGCAAAAGAATGTCTAGTTGCCATTTTGAGGCAAGGCGGTTCCAATGTTTTATTTTCCAAATGATGGACTGGCAGTGATTGATTCTCAGTGAAACATCTGGCTAGTTCAGATGACAACCTTGAGCTAGGTTAAGAGCTCTGAGAACTTCAAAGAAGAAAAGTTGCTTGATCCAGGAACAGCCCACATATATATTTGGCTATTATTAATGGCGACTGCTCCTGCTCAGGCTGCACAGAAAAAGCATTTTGGTTCCAGAAATTCATTCCGATCGTGCAGATAAAATATAACAGACAGAATTCTACAGGATGTGGTGTCAGTGGGTCCTGATCCCAGGCATGCACCTCCAGATGGTGGAGATGTCAGGTGCAAAACACACCTGGCTAATTTCGAACACTGACAGCCTCCTTCAACCTGGGGCTTGGGACTACAACCTCCATCAGCCATGATAACATGGCATTGCTGGTGGAGGCTTCTGGGAGCTGTAGTTCTGAAGGACTCCAGTTTGGAAAACTGGAGTTTGGAAAAAGGCTGCATTCTCTGGCCCAGGACAGTTGTGTGTTCAATACATGCACACGCACACACACACACCAGTTTGTAGCACTTTGAACAAGGTCTGCCTGCACACATTTTCAAGTATGCGTGCATCTTACATGCAGGTTTGTGCCTGCTTTGTGAAAATATTCACAGGAAAATATTCTCCTACTAACACATGCGGTCACAAGTGTTTCTACAGGAGTGTGAAGGAACCTCTGCATATAAACGTGTATTTAGAAACGGAAATGCAAAACTTGCCAGCATGCAAGTGGTGTGCAAGACAAGAATCTCTCACAAAGAGGTCTTTATCACTTCCCACCCCCCAAGGTCTTAAAAGGCTCTGAGCAGAAGCGGGTTTTTCACTGCCAGACAAAAGAGCCCCACCAACATGAAAGATGGTCTGAACAAAGGATGGAAAATCCTCTTGCCACCAAACACCTGCCTGAGCTAGCGAGCTGTACCAAACACAGACAAGAGGGGCTGTGCCGTCCCCCTCACACAAAAAAGAAAACCCCTGAACCTTCCACAGTTTCCTGTAGTCACCAGGAGGAGGGTGGTAGCTTCCTCACACAGCCAACACACAACATTCCCCAAGGAAATGGATTTGTCTAGATCAGTGGTGTCCAAACTTTTTTCAAAGAGGGCCAGATTTGATGAAGTGAAGGGCTGTGAGGGCCGACCAAAGTTGTTAACCTATTTTTTAGGATTGAAATTGTTGAGTTTTTTTAGGATTTTGCCCCAGGAAATAAACTATAAACTGCCACAGGGGCCAGATTAAACCGACCGGCGGGCCATATTCGGCCCCCGAAACAGACTTTGAACATGCCTGATCTAGATCTACTTGCTCTATTGTCCATCTGGATTCAAATGGAAAATGCACTGAGAGGTACAATAGCTACAGGTTTTCCTCCTCCCAATAACTTCACATTTAAACGCAGCTGTCAAAGGCAGCCTTTGCTCGCTCCCTTATCCCATCTGTTCCCCAACAGACTTTCTCCTTCTCCTCTACATCTAAGACACACACACACACACACACAACACTTCACACAGACCCCAGCCTGCCCTCTTAATAACACAAATCCAGTCACTGTTTTTTGCCCTCACCAGACAGAAGTTATTTAACCTAGCAAGCGTGCCAGGCACATATTGAGTTATGCATACGTCAGCTGGCTCTATACACCGCAGCCCACAAGGAAACATGAAAGATGCTAATTGCTTCAGAGAAAACGCTGCATTATAGATGATCAACAGCAACGTCCCTCCAAGCTTTCAGGATCAGTCACCCTGTAGAACTGGATGGGACCTCAGGGGTCATCTAGTCCAACCCCCTGTAATGCAGGAATCTCAAGTAGATCGTTGGATGGCAGATGCCCACACAGGTGTCATTCTAACTCCTGCTGCCTTGTAACATGGAAATCTCTTTCCACCGATAACACAATTTAAGCAACACACACACAGAAGGCCCCTTCTGTGTATTTAAAGCAGCATCATACCACTTTAAACAGCCCCCTCCCAAAGAACCCTGGGAGATGTAGTTTGCTAAGGGTGCTGAGCAATGTCCCTACTGTATTTGCTTCACAAAGCTATGAAATGGTCCACCCCACCCGCCTTTCACAGGGAACTCTGGGAATTGCAGATTTGTCAGAGGAACTGGGGGTCTGCTAACAACTCGCGGCACCCTTATCGAACTACAGCTCCCAGAATTCTTTGGGGGAATCCATGGCTGTTTAAGGTGGTATCATAGTCTTTATATGTACAATGCAAACGAGGCCACCGTGCCAACTCTCTCGCACCCAACTCGCAGCAAAAGCCATTCTTTCCACAGCAGCCCAAAGCTTCTTTCTTCTGGTGTGTTGAAAAGGTCAGGGCTCGTCTCCCCCTCCCCTCCATTTCACCCTCCCAGATGGCCTTAAAATTCCTTAAAAGGGGGCGACGAGGAGAGAGAAAGTGACTGAAGAAAGGACAAAACAGAAAACAAACGCGGAGAGAAGACGGGGGGGGAGAGAGAGATGAAGGCGAAACTGACGAGAGGGGAAGAACAGCAGCAAAACAGAGAGGAGCAACTCAAGAGAAACGAAGGCAGCCTAGAAAGAAACCAAAAGAGGAGAGCAAAAGGAAGCAAGGGGGGGGGGACCCGCCAGGGAAGGAGAAAAATCACACAAAGGAATGGAAACCAGAGCGAAGTCCATAAAAAGAGAAAGGAGGATGGATGCAAAGTTTGCAACAAAAGAGGGGGAAACAGGGAGGAGAGGAAGGGAGGCAGCGGGGCGGGGGGGGACGAGGCAAGGTGCAGGGGCGACGAGAAAGCGTGGGAGGGCGCGGGGGGTTCCTACCGCGGCTTCCGAAAACGCTCAGCAGCTTCGCGAAGAGCTGCCCCATATCGGAGCCCCGCAGCCGCCTAAGCGAGCCCTGTCCCCAGCCCCGCTTTATAGCCTCGGCCGGTGACGCGTCCAGGGGAGAGGCGCGCCCGCGCTCCGGCTCCGCCTCCTCCTCCTGCGCGCCTCCCTCTCGGGAGGGATTGTATTATTATTTTCCCCAAAGTTAGGGAACTCCTCCGGCGCGAGGAGGGAACCCCGGGCAAGGGCAGCTGTCTGAGGATGAGAATGGCAAATACTGGGGGGAACGGCGCACAGGAAGGGCAAAGTTCTTTTCCGGGGGGGAGGAGAGCATGTGCAAAGTGCTTTTGCTCCGGGCAAAGCGCGGCGGCTCGCCTCCTGTACGCCCCCCTCTGTCTGTCCTAGGAACCAACTGCTAGGAGTCTTTGCCCCCCCCCATAAAATAGTTGACAGCATCTTAAAAAGCAGAGACATCACCTTGCCAACAAAGGTCCGTATAGTTAAAGCTATGGTTTTCCCAGTAGTGATGTATGGATGTGAGAGCTGGACCATAAAGAAGGCTGATCGCCGAATAATTTTTTTAAATTACTTTTTAATTCAAAATTAAAACAAAACATGTTATCCAGAAACATATCATCCTTATTTTCCCCCTTTTTCCTCCCTCCCCCTCCCTCCCCCCACAGAACCCACCCACCCCAACCCCCCACTTCCCTCAGTTCCAGTCCTTGGTTTCTCTAAAAATGCTGTTTTCTGCATGTTACCCAGTTGTATAGATCCTCAAACTATTTAAGTAATAATTATCAATAAAAAGTTTGTGAATGCTTATTCAAAACCAGCCAAGGAGTCCAGTTCGCTTTGTTGCATCTTCAAATACTTTGTAAAGGGTTCTCATTCATCTTTAAAGTCACAGTTATCCTTGTCCCGTAGCTTGTATGACAGTTTTGCCAGTTCTGCATAGTCCATCAATTTTTCTTGCCATGTTTCTTTAGTTGGGGTTTCTTCAATCTTCCATCCTTGTGCTATTAAAACTCTTGCGGCCGTTGTCGCATACATGAAGATGTTTTCCAGCTTTTTTGGCAGATCTTTCCCTACAATCCCTAATAAAAATGCTTCAGGTTTTTTAACAAATGTTAAATGGAATATTTTCTTCAATTCATTATATATCATTTCCCAAAAAAATTTAATTACCTTAAATCCCACCACCTATGATAAAATGTCCCCTCCTTTTCTTTGATCGCCGAAGAATTGATGCTTTTGAATTATGGTGCTGGAGGAGACTCTTGAGAGTCCCATAGACTGCAAGAAGATCAAACCTATCCATTCTGAAGGAAATCAGCCCTGAGTGCTCACTGGAAGGACAGATCGTGAAGCTGAGGCTCCAATACTTTGGCCACCTCATGAGAAGAGAAGACTCCCTGGAAAAGACCCTGATGTTGGGAAAGATGGAGGGCACAAGGAGAAGGGGAGGACAGAGGACGAGATGGTTGGACAGTGTTCTCGAAGCTACCAGCATGAGTTTGACCAAACTGCGGGAGGCAGTGGAAGACAGATGTGCCTGGTGTGCTCTGGTCCATGGGTTCACGAAGAGTCGGACACGACTAAACGACTAAACAACAACAAAATAGTTGAGGGACCCAGTTCCATAGCTGTCAATTTTTCCCTTTTCTTGCGAGGAATCCTATTCAGAATAAGGGAATTTCCCTTTAAAAAAGGGAACAGTTGACAGCTATGCCCGGGTCCCCCCCCCAAAGTTGATGGGCATTGGCATTCAAATAGCGTGTGTGATTGATTATGTGAGGCGGGGCTTATCCCCACCCACCCAAATATTTTATTCAGGTTGGCGCCCCTGCTGTCTTTAGTGCTACAAAATTATTGGAACAGAAGGAGACCCCTAGGGATTTCTTACCCTTCCCATCAAAGGAATAAGTCTGGTATTTAAAGCGGGTGGAGGGGCGTGCACATTGTATTGGCTTTTTATCGCATTAGGTTTTTCCTCTCCCCTCATCCCTCCCAATCACTTTTCCTTTTCTGCTGTGCCTTTTAGATTCTAAGCCTTAGACCAGGGAGTGTTTTATCACTGACTCTGGTAAGCCAATCTGGAAACCTCTCTTTGCTTTTATTTGGCTGAAGAAAATACCGGTATATATTTTTTTAAGTGTGTTTGTGTTCTGTGTAGTATAATTCATGCTGCTCCTGCAACACACTGAAGACTCTAAATATTTCAACTTGTGCAACGTGTATTGGCCAATAATGAGCTGCACACATACCAGGGTTGAGGATTGTGTGTTTCCCGGCACAATCCAAAGTGCTGGTATTGTTGACCTTTACAACTCTTTGCTCATGATCCTTCTGGCCTTTCTGGAGGTTATCGGCCTTTCAGGGCACACTGGCAAATCGGAGAAACTGTCATAGGCACCACACAAATGCTACAACTGTTCCCTCCCCAGCTGTACAAACCCCACCCCGAAAAAGAAAGCAATTGCTGTTATTCCAAGATTTGGCTTGGGGGGGGGGACGACTTATATTGGCTAATGGAACCTGATTTCAGTAGGGGAAACGCTGGCAAACCATTACTTTTTTTAATATCATTTTTATTGCTTTTCCAATAAAAACAGCCAATCAACATATCCGAATCATAATCCAATTAAAAATAACAAGCTAAAATAAACTAATTGTAATCCAAATTGTAATTTTTAATTTTTCCATCGTCTGGGCAAACCATGACTTTAAGTTGCCGCAAGACTCATATTTGGTTTCGATATGAAAGCTGACTAGCAGCATAGAATCATGGAATCGTAGAATTGTAGAGTTGGAAGGGAACCCAAGGGTCATCTAGCCCAACCCGCTACAGTGCTCATGGTAATGTGTATGTTAAAGTGCCACAGGGAGACATCTGGCAGCTGACATCTCCCTACACTAGAGTAAAGGTAAAAAGGTAAAGAACCCCAGGACGGTTAAGTCCAGTAAACGGGGACTATGGGGTTGCGGCGCTCATCTTGCTTTCAGGCCGAGGGAGCCGGCGTTTGTCCACAGACAGCTTTCCAGGTCGTGTGGCCAGCAGGACTAAACCGCTGCTGGCACTACAGGACACCGTGACGGAAACCAGAGCGCACAGAAACGCCGTTTACCTTCCCGCCGCAGCGGTACCTATTTATCTACTTGCACTGGTGTGCTTTTGAACTGCTAGGTTGGCAGGAGCTAGGACAGAGCAATGAGAGCTCACCTCGTCACAGGAATTCAAACCACCAACCTTCCGATCGGCAAGCCCAAGAGGCTCAGTGGTTTAGACCACAGCGCCACCCACGTCCAGAGTAGGAGGCCCTGTGAACTGAAAAGCAATACTAAATAAATGAACTATAACAATACACTGTGGTTTACTCTAAGAGAGAAATTCAGAAATGCCTGGGTCGCTTCCTGCTTTTGAGGCCCCCAAGCAGTCATAAAAAATAAAAAAACGATGAAACACAAAACCAAAAATTGTTTCTTAAAAACAAAAAACCTTCCCCCTCATGCTTTTTCTGTGCATATGCACTAATTATTGGTCTGTTGGGACATGTTTGGCTCGGTCTAACCTTGAGGCAGCAGAACTGTTTTCTTTTTAATATTGATGGACATTTCAAATGCTTCAAAAATGACAAAATCTGTATCAGCTGACAAAAAAAAAGTCTCTTACTAACACGTATCTCTTATTTACTTAAATGTGCAGCTCTAAACATGAGAGTATGCTTAAAAACATATTGTCTAAATTTGAGGCCTACGTCAAATCCGTCCCCCGGTTGGCCACGCTCCCATATACATAGGTGGGTTTAAAATAAAATAAAAAACCTTCCTGGCTATTTTGTACCCTTTGGGACCAAGGCAACAATTGCTTGTTGAAGTAAGCTTGTTGAACAATAAGCCAACGATACAATTTAAAAATATATATATATATATCCTGGAATCTGGAAGGTGACCATGCAGAAAACCTTTTTCAAAACCATAAAACTGGTTTGTTTTCTGCATGTTCTTTGTGTAATGAAACAGCTTGTCACGGTTTTGCGGTGGTATGATTCTTACAAGGCAGGAAGTGGGCATTTCCTCTGCTCAGTAACATGTCAAGCTTCTATTTCCCCCGCAGTCCTGTGGAAAGTAGAGACCGTATAAAATGCACACTAAGAAAATAAATACAAACCCACTCTTTTTTAAAAAAAAAATATTTCCTCCAATAAAATGGAAGTGGTCTGCATGGTTCTCCCCCCTCCCCATTTTACTCTCACAACAACCCTGTGAGGTAGGTTCAGCTTGGAGGTGGTGACTGGCCCAAGGTCACTAGTGAGCTTCATAGCTGAGTGAGGATTTGAACCCAGGGCACCTCACCACACTGAGTCTTTCCCTTCCTGTCTCTTGGAATCAGCCAGACTTTGATGGGTCTTACATGTCCGGTGGAATGTGCTCTTTCAGAAGTTTTAAAAACTGCCTTAAAATCTTAGCTGCATCTCAAGCCTTGGAACCTCAGGCTCCAGGTGTTAATCACTGCAAAGCCTCTGAACATGAGCAGAGAGCCATTCCCTCAGCTGAACTGAAATTTAAAACACAGTCTAACTCAGGATAAAAGCTGGAGAGGCAAAGCCTCAGACAGGGGCCTGAAAATAATGATTATTATCTGAAGATTGATTTCTTACTAGAAATCCAATTTGTCGTCCCACCCCAAACTTGACATTACATTGGGAGATATCTGTGACTGAATCTTCCCAAATAATATTCTCCTAAAAGCAAGCAGCAGGGTGGGGTGGAGCTTTGGTGTGTGTGTGTGTTGATGTTGGTGTGGTGTGTGCAGATCAAACTACAGCTCCCACTCAAATTGGCCCCCACCCCAGAACTACGATTTGCAATGGATGAATGGATGAAATGGGCTGAATCCAGACATGCTTTCCCTCCGTGGCTAATAGCAATTTTGGGCAGGGATTTGAAACTGGGCTGCAGAAAGGGTGGGGGTGGGCAGGTGGGTGGCTGGGAAAAATATCAGATCCCCAACACCACAACCCTGATCAAAATATCACACAC